GGTACAGTTTTGAAGAGGACTGTAGACGGACTATCATTACACGTGGGTTACAATGCTTTCACTGCTTCAACTGCATAGAGTTTGGAAGTTCGCAGAATGAGTTGAAGTACAAGATTATCATCCTGGTCATGGTTTGAAGAGCTGTAGAATGAATCCACAGTTCCCTACAGTGGTGTTTGAGACGTAGTTTACCAAGGATCTAACACCATTGATGCAAGAAATGTCACACAGGCTTATAATTGGATAGGTCTGTATATAAACAATGCAGGTGTACAGTTCAGCATTGATATAGACAATATAGGTAGACAATGCACGTAGGCCTTGGGAGTATACAGTTTCATATGTGATTACACAGTACGGGTATACAACAATGGTTAATAGTGAAGTAATTTGACCTAGGGTAGCCGACAAAGCTCTCAGATGATTATTTCCTCGAGAAACGAAACATAAAGAAATCGCTCTATTAGTTGAAGCCACAGTCTGGAAGTTTCCTCGCTCGCCAAACACTGCCACGCTCACTTCCTCTACTCATCTATGTCTCGTTATCTATGTCTCTTCCCAAGTTGGTAACACTGATGGCCTACGTCACGCCACCCTTCATGACGTCACAACAACAATGGCCGAGAAGTGCTCTTTGCTTCTGTTCTTTTGTGCTGTTTGGGTTGTTATTAAGACTGGGTCGGAGGACGAGGAGGGGGAAGGGGGAGGAGGACGGGGAAAGGGGGGAGGAGGACGGGAAAGGGGGGAGGACGGAGAAAGGGGGAGGAGGACGGGGAAGGAGGGAAGAGACGGGAAAGGGGGAGGAGGACGGGAAGGGAGGGAAGAGGACGGGGAAAGGGGGGAGGAGGACGGGGAAAAGGGGAGGAGGACGGGAAGGAGGGGAAGAGGACGGGAAAGGGGAGGAGGACGGGGAAGGGAGGGAAGAGAACGGGGAAGGGGGAAGAGGACGGGGAAAGGGGGAGGAGGACGGGGGAAAAGGGGAGGAGGACGGGAAGGGAGGAAGAGAACGGGGAAAGGGGGGAGGAGGACGGGGGGGAGGAGGACGGGGAAGGGAGGGAGGACGGGGGGGGAAAAAGGGGGAGGACGGGGAAAAGGGGGAGGAGGGGGAAGGGAAGGAAGAGGACGGGGAAAGGGGAGGAGGAGGGGAGGAGGACGGGGAAGGGAGGGAGAGAGGACGGGGAAAGGGGGGAGGAGGACGGGGAAGGGAGGAAGAGGACGGGGTGGGAGGAGGACGGGAAGGGAGGAAGAGGACGGGGAAAGGGGGAGGAGGACGGGGAAGGGAGGAAGAGGACGGGAAAGGGGGAGGAGGACGGGGAAAGGGGAGGGAGGGGACGGGGAAAGGGGGGGGAGGACGGGGAAAGGGAGAAGGAGGACGGGGAAAGGAAAGGAGAGGAAGGTAGGAAGAGGTGGAGGAGGAACAGGTGCGATAGAGTGCATTAGTATGACCAATATGCTCATATATGTTGACCTTCACATATAGTTACTTGTGGCTTCCTGCAGTATAGTGACTACTACACACACACACATTAGAGATACTAACTTCGTCTCACAATTCATCACGTTAAATATCATTAGTCAAGGCTATTTAGTATAATATTGACCAAACTTACTCTCTTCTTCAGTAAACTCTCGCACAGCTTCAACGACGTTACATAACCCTGACGTAAACAGACTGTCATTGGCAACATATTTTCCTCATCTCGACACATGCTTCACTCTTTATGAAAACTCTGAACGGCATGGAATATATTTTTTAAAGATATATACCACGTTATATAATGCTCTATTACTTCCCACACGCAGCACTTTTCTGTCAATTCCATCAAATGCTTGCCCTAGTTAGTTTTTGTCTTCTCCAAGAATTTCTAATATGTGTGTGCTTGTTGTGTGTGTGTGTGTGTGTGTGTGTGTGTGAAAGAGAGCGTGTGTGTACCATAATATAGCACCATATCAGTAAGTTCTAGAAGTGCACAGTATTCTAACTCTACAAGATAGTGAAGTTTACATCACATACCGTCACATCCTCGGCCACACGAACACAAACATCACCGTTTGGATCATCAATGACGAACGGCGCGCTTTATTTGTATACATTGCGTTCCCGTGGTATCCACCCAGGGGTAGCCCGCCCCTCCTTACTTACTGTACCTCAGTTTAACCTTCACTCGCGCCTGGCTTAGATCTCTGGTAGTTAAAAAGTCCATTGAAGTAAATATCAACTTAATTCAACTACTGTGATTATTATTCAAGCCAGCCATCAAGTGAGTATAAATTATCATGTTAGTGTGGTGGTGTTGCGTGATGTGCATAACAGTGGCGTCAGGGTGTTGCGCCTTAAGAACAGCTGATGTTTGTATTTTATCACTTGGCGAGCTGTAAGGTTCACAGTAAACATGTCTAATGACTGTGTTTATTGGTCTAAAAATTATCTCTACTGTACTGATATAATCGTTAACGTGAATTTTAGTACGATAGTTCACATTAATAGAGAGAAAGACGGTTATATAAACAGCTGGATGACATACTATATGTGTAGATAGATAATTACAAAACCAATTTACAACTCTGAAAATTGGTAATGAGACAGATATACAGTATACTGATACACATATACATAAAATATACAGATTACATAAGTATCTATATATTTTTTCCTTTTGTTTCTCGTCATTGTTGTGTGTGCCTCCGTTACCAATACTTTTGTTTTCCTTAATATTGCAAACAATCATTCAGGTAAACACACACACATTTCACGTCATTTTTCACCACTTTTTTAAATTCTTTCTGAGGTAAAAGATACGATCAGCTGTAATATACTCTTCCACAACACTACCCTAGATCTGTTTCACTATTAGGGCTTTATACACAAACCAGCTTCCTTCATCATCATCATCATCATCATCATCATCATCATCATCCATCAACAATACGTCCTTCCGATTCACATGCACTGGCGCTCAAGATGTGTACCCTGGTCCTTTCTAGCGCGCACTTCACTCCATTTTCCCGTCACGTTCTTGGTTTTCCTCTTTCATTTATTATATATATCTATGAGTTATGCGATATTTTTACCGATATTTAATTTATTATTTTATCAGTTTGTCTATGAATATCCCTGATCACCGTTTCCCCCTATCTCTCTCTCTCTCTCTCTCTATATATATATATATATCTCTTCTATATCCCTATTTCCTAACATTCACACCTAATTTCATCACTCTACTTTTATTTCCATTTACCATCAACGTTCTCCTCATTCTTACTAACATTCATAAAGTTACTAGTGTTATTTTTGTAGTTGTGTCCTTCTGGTGGTTGATGTGGTTGTTGTGGGTTGTTGTTGTGGTTGTTATGGTAGACCCCGAGGGTTAGTCACCCACACTGTTCTAGAATGTGTGTGTGTGTGTGTGTGTGTGTGTGTCATGAGTGAACACGTTGGCACACTGGCGAACTATAATGAAAATCTATACTAGTGCTACCACCTCCCTCCCTCCCTTTTCCCCTCCCTCCCTCCTTCCTTCCCTCCCTCCTTCACTTCCCTCCCCCCCTTCCTTCCTGTGACACACATGTATTCGATGACCCACGAAAAGTAATATTAATAGGGTGTTACTTAAAGTGCGACAGTAATATGGTGTTACTTAAAGTGCAACAGTAATAGATTAATAGCCTAAAAAAATACCTTCCTTACCCACCTATAAACTTATCACTATTTATCTACTTCTCCATCTCTTACCTACTACTTGTATTTAACCATATAATTACTTATTACGTTTCATCTTTTTTTTTCCTTTTTTTCGTTTTATTTTTTTTTATTTTACAATATTGTGTTTGGTGAGTCACGGAACTCGGTCACCAGATGGCAGCACTGTCAGTATGGCCGCGTTTTGTTGACATTTTCCCGAACTCACAAATTTAGGTTTGTACGTTTTTTTTCCCTTTCACCAGGAGCCTCTTGTAGACGTACTCACCGAACTATATACATAAACTATATACCAACCTCCATGTCATTCAACAATCTTTACATATATACATACTGCGTTATTCATCAATATATATATACTCATCTGACTGCTATTCATTTGTTTTTATATATTTAGCTGCCCCACTATTAGTCTACCTGTGGTTATCTCAATGTGCTCTTGTCCAACAGGATGACGATGACCGTGGCAGAGTTCATCCGGCTGCAGCGCCAAGGCTTAATCCCGGCCAGCGCGAAGCCCCCGAAGAAACCCAAAGCACCAAAGCCGACCACCAATGACAAGCCTGCACCCAACACTCAGCCGTCGACCAACAACACTCAGCCGTCGACCAACAACACTCAGCCGTCGACCAACAACACTCAGCCATCGACCAACAACACTCAGCCGTCGACCAGCAACACTCAGCCGTCGACCAACAACACTCAGCCGTCGACCAGCAACACTCAGCCGAGTGCCAAGACGCAGCCGAGTGCCAAGACGCAGCCGAGTGCCAAGACACAGCCGAGCCCAAAAGACAACAGCGAAGATGAGAGGAAGAAGGCTTTAGAGGAACGAGACAGGCTGGAGAAGGAGGCGAAGGAGAGAAGGGACAGAGAGGAGAAAGAGAGACTGGAGAAAATGGAGAAGGAAAAGGCGGAGAAAGCGAAGAAGGAGAGAGAAGAAAGGGAGAAGAAGGAGAAGGAGGAAAGGGAAAGGAAAGAGAAGGAAGAGAAAGAAAGGAAGGAAAAGGAGGAGAGGGAAAGGAAGGAAAAGGAAGAGAAGGAACGGAAGGAAAGGGAAGAAAAAGAAAGGAAGGAAAAGGAAAGGGAAGAAAAAGAAAGGAAGGAAAAAGAAAGGGAAGAAAAAGAAAGGAAGGAAAAGGAAAGGAAGGAAAGGGAAGAGAAAGAAAGGAAGGAAAGGGAAGAAAGAGAAAGAAAGGAAAAAGAGGAGAGAGAAAGGAAGGAAAAAGAGGAGAGAGAAAGGAAGGAAAAAGAGGAGAGAGAAAGGAAGGAAAAAGAAGAGAAGGAAAGAAAAGAAAGGGAAGAGAAGGAGCGGAAGGAGAGGGTGGCGAGAGAAAAGAAAGAAAAGAAAGAGAGAGATCGGAAAGAACGTGAAGAGAGAGAGAGGAAAGAACGAGAAGCAAGAGAACGCCGGGAGAAAGAGGAGAAAGAACGTCGGGAGAGACATGCGCGAGCTCGGAAGGAACGGGAGAATAAGAAACGCCAAGAACAGCAGGAGAGTGAACGTAAAGCGAAGGAAGAGAAGGAGAAGAAGGAACGCCAGGCGAAGGAGGAGAAAGAACGTAGGGAACGAGAACGCAAGGAGAGAGAGGAGAAGGAGGAGATGAATTGGTGGCAGCAAGAGGAGAACGAGAAGAAGGAGAGAAGTGAGATGGAAGAGAAACTAAAGAAGAAGAAAGACGAGATAAAGCAAAAGAAGAAGAAGTTAAGCCAGAAGAAGGTCAACCCGGATGATGACAAGTTCAAGGAGTTTATGGGCTGGCTGACCAACGGCGACAAGAAGGACATGGGCAAGTCTGGCGCCTTCCTCTGTAGTGATGATGACGATGACTGAATACCACGATAACGATGACGATGACTGAATACCACGATAACGATGACGACGATGACTGAATACCACGATAACGATGACGTCTATGACAATACCACGACGATGACGATGACTAGATACCACGACAACGATCACGATGATAAGGACGTCTAAACACCACGACGAAGATGATGAATGAATACCACGACGACTATGGCGATGACAAGAACGACTGAATACCACGACCACCACGACGAGGACGACTAAACACGACGACGACGAGGACGGCTCAATACCACGACCACCACAACGACGACGAAGAACGCTACACCACGACCACAAGATGACCGACTCCCAGACCACTAACTAAACAAATGAACCATTGAACTAAACGAAAACACTAAACAACCATCAACACTTTTAGCACCATTAACTACCATAACTGAGCACCTAACAACCACTTATACTGTACGACGCCATTAAACTATACTGTATACCTAAATTGGCGAGGTTAACGATCAGTCACCTCTTGAACTACCGAAAGATCGTCTTGTGCAGTTCACCTCGATTGGCATAAAACCTGAGAGGATTATTTTTTTTTTTGGATAATGGTAGTACAATCGACGGTAGAGCTGTCGACAATGACACTTGGGTATTAGTAAACGACTCTTAACTAGTTATATCTATTGTAATGATGATAGTTGTAACTCTAGATCACACACAAAAACTCAATAGATGTGAAATATCTATTTAACGAACTATATTGATGAAAGTCCGTTATATCGAAGTTCCGTTAAATGTAGAATCTCCCAGCTAATGGACTATATTTAAAAAATCGTAATTGGGAGGATTTTACTGTAATACAATGAAATAATGATGTTAATATTTATAAATAATTTGTACTATTTAAATTATATATAACAGAATTCGCCATTACTTACTAACATGACTTGATAATCGCTGGTGAGTTAGTTTGTGGACTGGCTTAGTTCTATACGTAATAGTTATAGTGTTTATTGAATGAGACAGATATATAGCTTTTTATATTAACATATATATATTGTTATTATTGTTACTGTTAATTAGGATGGAGATTTTGTTGTTGTTTATTATTGTATGTTGAAGACACACACACACACACACATTACCCCCCTCCCCACACACAATAACAATTTAACTCAAGCATAAAATAACAGAGTTTATGTCCAAGCAAATACAGTATTGTACAGTATACGGTGTCAAATATAAATATACTTTGGAATATTTAATAAAAGATTTTTACTAACCTTAAAAGATGAACTAAATATATTGGAGATAATTTGTGGTTTTTGTTATTATATGAAAAAAAAAGTTAGGTTAGATGATCCAAAAGAAGAGATGCAGGGAATGAGAGAATTAGAGAGGTCACACGAATTAAACCCCTTCTCTCTCTCTCTCTCTCTCTCTCTCTTTCTCTCTCTCTCTCTCATACACATCGGTCGCGTGTTAACTTGACAGTCAAGTGGTGGTTGTGTTATGGGTTTCTGTTAGTGGTCGTTATGGGCAACCACCACTACCATCGCCACAGCGACTACTACCACCACCACCATCACCACCACCACCACCACTGTTATTGTTGTTAGTCAATTGTTAGTGTAATATTAATAGTGTACGACTATTACTACTACTACTACTACCACTAATAATAATAATAATAATAATAATAATAATAATAATAATAAATGTATGTATAAATGCATAAACCAGACTTTAATCTAGCATGGATGGGAAAATAAACAAATAAATCTCAACCAAGCTGTTGCACTATCTCATCTTTGGCGGGAAACACCACGATACGATCACACAGTTTCTACACTTCCCTATTTATTCATTTTACTTCGTTCTTATCTCGGAATACCATTGTGACTCATGCCGTATCTCCCACATTTTATGTTTATTTACATATCTGCTATTTCTTTATTCATTTATGTACCCGTATGAGTTTATATAATTATCTACTTATCACTGTAATTGTCTCTCTATTTACCTATCTATTTCAATATATTTTCCATTACTAATTATCTCCGTACATCTCATTTTATCTTTCTGCGAATAATGTTTTATACTGCATATTTCATCATTTACTGAGGGCGTAAAATACATACATAGTTTTAATGTTTCAGTATTTCTTAATTATCCTTATTTGTATATTAGTGTTTGTTTAGTTTACATCAAGTTAATAAGAACATCATGTGGTATGTTGTCTTGTGATAAAATATTATAGGAAATGTTATAAAAGAAAAAAAAACATAAGTGCATGTAAATGCTATTAAAGAGAATGGAGTCGTTACATTTGAAGTGCGTGTGAATCCTATTAAAAAGAATCTAATTATCTATAAAACGCAACGTCACTTTTTATTATTCGTTTACACCACACTGTCTATCAGTGGCCGAGTCAGTGAGTCAGTTAGCTGAGGAGTTACTGAGTCATTTACGTCGAGTAGATCTGGGGCAAGTATTTCTCTGCTGTTGAATCGATATACAGGGTATTGTAGTGTCGTCGGGTCCTTGTTTCCTATTTCCCCCTCACTCCTTCCTATCTCCCTCTCACCCATTCCTATCTCCCTCCCATTCCTTCCTCCTTCTCTCACATAAAGCATTCCTTATTTTAACCTTCTCCCTCTTTCCATTCCATATCTCCATCTCTTCTTCTCTTCCTTCTCCTTCTCATTTCTCGTTCCTTCCCTCCATTCCTTCTCACTGGGCACTTCTCTTCTTCCTCCCCCGTGTCGCACGTGTGGCCCTTATTCAGTATTGATGTTGTGAGGAATCGGCCTCCTCTACCCTTCCCTCCCTCCACCCATCACCCCTGTCCCTCCCTCACCAACCTAACCTAACCCACCACCATTCCCTTCTATTCCCTTACCACAACCCCCGTCCCTCCTTACCCCCAACCATTCCCCCTTCCCTCAACCCACCAGCTCCGTCCCTCCACCTACCACCCCGAGCCCCCCCTGTCCCTCCACCTACCACCCCCTTCACCCCTCCACCCAACATTCCCACCTGTTCTCCAGGGAGCTGTCATGCACCACGTACAAGTCAGGTCGACAACACCACCAGGGGAAGTCGAGAGGGTGAACACCTTTGAGGAATAATGAAAGATTCGAACCAGCCTCCCCGCCAAGTGCAAGGTGAGCCCCCCCCCTGAGTAGAGAGAAGCCTCGACACATCAACAACGCTACAGTGGTGTACAATAGGAGACGTAACCATTACGAGCCTAAACATTTCCTCTACAGGCTGTTGATTCCATCGCGCCACAGCAGGAAGTAACAAAAGGGAGCTGAAGAAATAATATATGGATTCAACGCCCTCTTAGACACGGTAAACCTTTGCTTGATAAATATACTCACTACTCAGCCCATAACCCACCCAGCACTACCTCCACACAAGCACCAGTTATAAACTCAAATTACAGGTGGTCCAGAATCATAACCAGAGGATTTATCATAGCAGGAAGATATCCAGACAATGGAACCACAGTCAGACTTCACAGGGACTTATCAACCAGCAGCCACACATCTTAGCTACAGGAATATGGGGGAAAAATAGACAAGAACTCGTACAAAGACTCCCACGAGAAAATAATAATCACCATAGAAGCATAGACGGTTACCCAAAAGCTACCAGAGCACAAGGGGATCAACACTACTCTTTCGTCTTCATGGCCAGTCGCGGCAATGTCCATATATAAATTACCGATAAATGTGACAAATATGTTTATCAGACTTCTATCTCAATAAGATAAGCAGTGCAAAGAGTCTATTAAGTGCGAGCAGTAGCGGGAAGGGGGGGGGGGGACACTTGAACACATGTTTTAATCAATCCAATACTATCATTCAATTAAGATCCTTGAACAAATTGACAACTTACAGTCTGTTGAGGAATACGTGACGTGACGTGACGTACTGTAGAGGCGAAGGTAAACATGCCACTCTTCATGAAAGTTTAGCTGCGAGTACTAATGGCGTGATTCATGATATATAAACACACTTGAGTTGAGGGAGGGGGGGATCCTGGTGCATGTTGTTCATTAACTAGCGGGAGGGAGAGAAGGTTGCCTGATCGAGAGGTTTGAACAGTAGACGCCATTACAGCGCGGCGGACGGACACGAGTTTCACAGTGGCTAACGAGGGATAACCTGTTACCCCAGGGTATGTGGTCTTATTATATGATCTACGAAAGTGTTTTTTCTCGATTTTTCATTTAAAATTAGATTTTTTATAATAATTTAGAAAGAAAATTGGTTAAAAGTGCATATTATCCTATTTAATATTCATGTATTAGGGGGTTCGCTACTTGTTAAATTTTTATTGTTTTCTAGATTTTGATTTATTGTTGTCTTTACTGCAACTGTTATTTACCAAAAAGTAATGAACTATGTAAATGAGGAGAGTAAATGAGCGAGGAGGAATTTATTTGAAAGTTTAATCAATAAACTCAGTCTCGGGAGCTAAACGGGGCGATGGCATTAGTATCCATTGTTCATGATGAACACTTGTGAAAATACTCCTTCATTGCCGAATCCAGGTGACGCTGTCCAATAGTAAGAAAGCTGCCAATAATCTCTCTGACAGTTACCTCAGACACTGAACCCATTCGATAAAAAAAGACATTTAATGAAAGAAAGGATTGATTACTGCTTGTAGACTTCAATATTGACTAGGCTCTGGCGGTGGAAGTCTTTAGAAGAGTTCGTGTTCGTTCCATTTTTTGGTGGATAATTATGACTGTTGTTCGTTCATATAATTGTTACTGCATAGAATAACTTCTAATTTTATCGGATTTGATGTGAGTAGTTGTAAATGCAGTCATAACATACCACTTTATGGTGTCAGCAACGAAATGTATGTTCGAATTCCTAAAAATACAATTTCCACAAACGATACAGTGTTAATACAATGACATTCTGTAATGTGATTAGTCAATAAATTATAAATTCTTCACACACTGAAAATGTACTGTATACAGTACTATTAAGTTGACGCGTCGTAAAGTGATGACATAAGTACCTTGACTTCTCATAAGCTAGTGGAGAGTTGAGTGTCGTTGAATTTAGTGAAATTTTATCATGCAATACTTTTAAAGAAGTGTTGCGGAAACTTTCACTGTACACGAAGCACAACAATAATAATATACCTGTACTGTATATTGGCGTCTACAAAAACCCAATTGACATTTATAAATACTGTACCCTTAGAATATTAACAAAAATGCATTTATTTATTAATGCGTGTTAGAGATGAAATATGCATATTAGGCATTTACAAATGTATGTCCGGCATTTTGAAATGGTAATCAAGAATTTACAAATGTACATTTGGCATTCAATGGTACGTCAGACATTTCTAATATTATGTAACACATTTACAAAATCACAACAGACGTTTACAAATACTGTATACGTTAAGGCATTTACTATATGCACGTCCAACTTACTGTACATTCTCAAGTCTGTAATATACAAAAGCACGCCAGTCTAACAAATACGAGTCAGGCAATAAGAATTACCGTAACATAAACTCCAGACTAAAGAAGATACACACCAAGCACTATAGTATAGTGACTATACTGTACAGTGCACGCCAGGCATAACATAGACAAGTCCAACCCGACACAAGCTTATCGATTTTATCCTTAATAATGTCTAGGCATGGCGTGCATGATGGAAAGAGAAACCATCAATTAACTTATGCCACCCTTTACTTTGTGGCTTGGAGGAGGACTCAAAGGCTCGTAGGTCAACTTCTTTTTAGCCCAACTCCAGGTGCACGATCTGAGAATATGCCGCCAAGTTCACTCTCGCGGCTCGCCTCTCGGTCTGTTCTGATCTGAGGGTATTGTTGTCTCCTGTGGGTCTGACTGTTGTTATTTCTAATCTTGTCAGTACAACTATCAGGTTTTAACAAAGTACGTTTATGTTGGTGATTACAAAGTGTCTTAATGTTTGTGTTTACAGAATCCCTTAATGTTTGTGTTTACAGTCCTTTAATCTTTGCATTTACAGAGTATTTCAATATTTCAATCTACAGAGTCCACTAACATGTGTTTTTACTGAGTCCATTTAGAAAGACACATCCAAATAAAAAGGTAATGGGCTCCGCCATTTTCTTCACATAAAAGTATTCTCCACCATGAGGCTGCAGTGACATCTTCCATAGACTTGTACAAGTTTTAGTTACAGGAACATGACCAAGTATAAGCTATACAGTTATATGCAAAAAATTATGGAGTAGTTTATTGTGCACCCCATACTCATCCTGTGAGCGGTAGCGCAAAAGGATTGCAGAGTAGAGGCCACAAAGGGTGTTTATTAGGGCACAGTGGTCGGGATATCATGGCATTGAATGTTATAAGTATTTATTCCAGTACATTGTTTGTTTAGTTCTGTACAAAGATGGTGACTTATTCACAACTGCGTAAGTGCAGCATTGTGAGGCAATTATGTCTGGTCTCACACTTTGTTATTCACATCTGCGTGAGGGAAGTCAAGCACATTGTGTGTTTAGTTCTATATACATAAGAATTGACTTAACTACTAAGTGCAAAAAAAATGGATACAATCTTAATCTTGCCATTAAAGATAATTGCTGTGCCATTACACCACACAGTGTGCTTGGACCTGTCCCTAGAATGTTCTATATTATCTTCTCACGGTCATTAACGTAGTGTTGGAATGTGTGGCAATACGTGTGGTCACACACTTTACATCTAGTTTTGTTTACATATGCTATACAGTAGGAGACATACTGCCAGAGGTACTTATCGTATATCCTAGCCCAGTCTAGACTCTAGCGATTACATCTTGTAATATATTGATAGTGTAACTTTCTCCATATACAGTACCTGTTTCACTGGATACATCTGATCATGGTAGACAATGGATTAACTATTGCATGTTTGCACTTGTCTGCTTTCCAAGTGACTAAATTTAAAACATTAAGGGATTCTGTAAACACAAATACTGTATTGAAGGACTGTATACACAAACGTTAATGGACCCTTTGGCTGCATTTACACCAAGCCAATCAAGTCAAGTCAAGTCACGTCAAGTCATGACTCATCGTGAATCGCCACTCTAATGCACAGTTACTCCAATGTATATTCTCAGAAACAACTCCCACCCGATGAGTCAAGTCAAGTCACGTCGCATCGTGTTACGTCAAGTCACAGATGGGGTTGGGCCCATTTTCTTCATCAGTCACGCCGAGTCCGCAGTGGTGTGTACATCATGCAGGTTGACGTCCTAATAAATTTAGTTCGAGAGCGTCCTGCTATATATGATCCCACTGATCGTAGCCACCGGGATCGTGATGTCACCCTAAAGAAATTGTAGAATTTGTCTTGATGGTTCACCAAGTCTGGGAATAAATGACTGAAGCTTCCAAAATTGGGTCTTTTGGTGTTGAGTTCATGCATCCAGATTCAGGTCCTCCTCTTGCGTTTACGACTCCAAATCCACAACAAAACAGCTAATTCAGCGATTGAATATGCGTCCATCCTCCTCGAAATCAGTCAGGGTACTGAGTCCTGATTGACTCTGGTTGACTCAGTCGGTGTGAACGGCAATGAGTCGAGTCAAGTCAAGTCAAATGACTTGATTGACTTGACTTGACTTGACTGGCTTGGTGTAAATGCAGCCTTAGAGCAAAAATCATCCAGTATTCTTTTAATTTTCTAAAGGTCTTTTTGGTGTCGTCTAGGTAACATTCTTACCACTCAATGTTGCACTTTTTGTTGTCAAAGGTCAATGGTCACTGCCACATAAAAACCCTGGCCCAGAGTTATTATTCGTGAATGATATGACTGTTTTTTCATTCTTCAGGCTAGTTGAGCAGTGACTCGCACGTGATCGTCCATGACACGCTCTTAGTATTGTTTATGCTCAAGCCAAGTAGGTCGCACGGCGTTTACATGCCACTTAGACGATTCCCAAGGATACGATCAACGATTTAACCTAACCTAACCTAACCAACTAGGTGGAATGGTGATGCCCTCCCAGCTGATCACTACTCACTCCTCGTCGCCAGGATTTACAGCAAACGTTTTTTTCACTGGGTACCAAGATTGCAATCTCTTCGATCGATGCAGTCAAACTCCATTATAAAGTTTCGAATCTTTTCTTAAACTGAAATTCAAATCTTACAAACGGTAAAAAAAAAGAGAAAAGGAAGATAAATAGGCGCAATCACAATCAACGGGCTTAAAATAATGTGTACATGAGAATGAATCTTTCCCTTACCGCCAGTCCGTATGGTCGCCTCACTGAGTATTATTGCATTAATAAAAAAAAGTGAGTATTATTGCCTTTATTATTTTAGGGAATCATTATTATTTCCTTACTTATTTTAGGGAAATTTCATCCATATTTACCCCTCCACATTCTAGGAAGTTAGTCAGTATTTTCCCCCATCTTTATTTTAGGGACATTGATTTTACCTTTTACTTTGGAGAGTTATAACCTGCCTGGCATGGGCTATACGGGAACTCGCGCCATGATTCACCTGTATATAAAGTTCCATCTCTTTTTGTTCTACCTCTTATGTAAAGTTCTGCTTGTTATATACAATTTTATAATAAACCGAAATGTAAATTGGTGGTACAGCGGTATTGTGTGTATCTCTCCAATCTGTCATGTGTTCGAGGCATGTCTCAGACACTCGTTAGAAGGGTCTTATCCAATGTGACCCGTGTTAACATCCTCTAAAGTCTAAACAGAGCATTATAAATCTTACTTTATTACTCGGCCCAGAGCTTGAGTGTGTGGGCAAGATGTGGTTTCTGTCAGAAACTGTCTGGCGTACCATTGATCCCGACGGCGTTGATTTGCTTGGTGAAAAATATACAAGTTCATACGCAGGAGTGTTCAACAGAGGTGGTATATATTTCGCTGCCCCCTCAGGCGTTCCATCATATATCAGCAATAGTATTTGTATATTTGTCGTGATATCTGGAATTAGAAGACAATAGATATGGTCGAAGTTGATCGCAATAATATAAACATGCACAGATGCCACTCGGCTTAAGATTTTAAATCATGTTAGTTCCCTGTTTGGCCACGAAAATTGGCGCCGCCAGTGTGGACGGCCACGGCACTGCCAGAAACACGTCAACACAGTACGCCAGTGGATCGCGTTAAACTGTCTCTCCACCATGGATCAATCCGGAACCGGGTAAGTTAGCATTTAAAATCGGGAAATTACTTCGTTGCGACTGGCGTTTTAACGCACAACCCCCCAGGTGTTGAAATGTAGCCAAAAGTAGCCCCAGGTGTTGAAATATACGAAAAAGTAGCCCCAGGTGTTGAAATATACGAAAAAGTAGCCCCAGGTGTTGAAATATACGAAAAAGTAGCCCCAGTTGTTGAAATATACAAAAAAGTATCCGCATGTGTTGAAATATACGAAAAATAACCCCGGGTGTTGAAATATACCCAAAAGTAGCCCCAGGTGTTGAAATATGCAAGTAGCCCCAGATGTTGAAATATACAAAAAGTATCTGCATGTGTTGAAATATACGAAAAAGTAGCCCTAGGTGTTGAAATATATCCAAAAGTAGCCCCAGGTGTTAAAATACACATTGACAAATTTTTACGATAATATGGCCAATTTAGGGAATATCCCCACCACACTGGGCTCGAGTCAGAGATATGCGTGATTCGCGCCGAAGAACAGTTCTGTACATCCAAATACAATTATTCTGATAAAACACCCACATTGTATCTTATTACCAGATTTATATCTATACAACAAAACCTCTATTTAACGGACTATATGGAGAGGAAAGTCAGTTATTTAGAGGGACCATTAGATTTGAAACTCACATCTAATGGATTATATAGATATAAGTTCGTTATATGGAGGTTTCACTGTATATACGTACCCCAGAGAACTAATTCAATCTTGGTTAGGTTAGGTTAGGGTTGTTTAATCATTAGCTGGGCTGTTAATCTTCACATATCCAAGAAAATAATAGTTTGTAGTTTACTCAAGAGTATACATGAGGGGCTCCAAGCGTCCAGATGACAGTAAGATAACAAAACAAGGTGTGTCTCGTGACGTCATTCATACCTTTGTAAACGGCCACTTCCCATCGACCTCGTCTTATTGTCCATCTGCACTATATATACACGGGTCTATGTATTGTACCGTGTATCATCTGTATGGTCTATGTATACACGATATCTGCGTTGGTGTGTGTACAGGTATGTATGAAGAACTGTATATACTATCTGCATTGTCTATAAACACGCCAAACTAATTGTAATTTTGATTGACGATTTTACTGAATAAATCTATCTATTTATAAATCTATCTATCTATCTATATCTATCTATCTATCTATATCTATTTATCTATCTCAGGTAGCGTGGCGGACGAAGGCAGTATACACAGTACTCGGGGTGGGATCATTGGGCCTCCTGAATGGTCGGGTAGTGTGTCTGACGATGGCCTGGTGACGGTGTTGTTTATGCACGCGAGGGTGAGGGAGGGAGGGTGGTTGAGGGTGATGGTGAGGGGGAGTGGTAGAGAGAGGGAGAGTGGTGTAGGGAGGGTGAGGAAGGGATAGTGGTGGAGGGAGGGAGGGAGGGTGACGCCAGCCATTCTTATGATGGAAACTGACACGAACACACGGGCGGAGGGAAGGGGGTATACACATTATATAACAGGGAAGAACACAGAACTATATAACAAAGGAAGAACACAGAACTATATAACAGGGAAGAACACAGAACTATATAACAAAGGAAGAACACAGCTATTGAAGAAGTGAAAAGCTTGTTTAATTCACTATGAATAAAAAAGACGAAGAGGATGCGTGATTTAACTGAGTAATAAATGTGGTTCTATAGTCTACACCATTATATATCTTTATTGTGTATGTGACTAGGAAGATGTGAGAGGGAAGGAAGAGGAGAAAATAAGGGGAATGAAGGAGATGAATGATAATGATAAGAATACAACTGAATATGATATGCTGTCAGTATATGAAGCGTGGCATAACTGTGATGTTTACGGAATCGGTGAGTCAGTTTTTCCGCGAAGTTCTCAGGGTTTCTGTAGTAATTTCTTAGACCTGGGTACTGAACGTGTGAGATCCATCTATCTATAGTGTACATGTCAGACCAGCCATAACCGAGTCCTCGTCAAAAAATCAAAGCTAGATCTCGTGGGATTTTGTTTTTTCAAGAGGGATTTTGTTTAGTTTCTGTCTGGTGTAATTTTGATCGTATTTTGGAGGTGAAGAATAGATATAACATGGAAGCTATTTATCGCTGTAATTAATATTGATTTCCTATGCTTGACGGTGTATGAGCTACGAAGGTCAACAAGTACAGCTGTGATATATACTGCTATTAACTATGATAGGAGGGAGGGTGGCAGTGTACTGTACTCGGCTCAAACACATCAACACACGGCCTGGGAGTCTTAACAAAGCTACTAACGGTAATTTTTTCCCCTAACTGGAGGTATAAAATCTGCCTCACTTAAGAATTCTCCCAGTTAAAACAAGAAGTAACTACTAAAACACACAGCTGGTGGCCCAAGAGCCTCCATGCTAACATAGAAGAACAAGACCCGCTTTACACATACCTGTACATGTGTGAACAAATAACACCACCATCTAACAAACATAAATTAACACCCATTACACCAATGAATGCCTAGCTAGCTTAGCTTCATCTCCACCCTGTGTTATAACGAATAAAATTTGTGAAATTAAAAAAAAAAAAATCCGAGGATATGAGGAGTATTTTATCAAATTAGATGAGTAAATAGCAACGAACGATGGCACCTGATTGGTTTATTTGTTGACCAACACGAGACGTGATCGAAAAGAAAGTACTGTACGTGAGAATCAGAATTAAAGTTGGATGTAAAATGTTTGAGCAGGACAAGACTTTAGACGTAGCTTTTTACAGCATTACAGAAGGAGTGTTTGAAAGATTAAACTATAGTGACTCACTGACTATTTACAGGATACAGGAAATCACTGATAACCTCACTAAAGATGATACCGTCTTGATGGATTCACTCCTAAACTCGCTCATCAAGGGACATATTACATGACGACGACATTTTGAACCCCTTTGAAAGACTTCTGTATGCTGTTGTTAAGAGCTTTCTGTTCAACGCTGTGATTGTTTTGAACTGCAAACGTATTCTTATTGGTCAGCTGATCAACCAGTCAGATGCCTTCTCTCGTCACGAACTACCTAGTGTGTGTGTGTAACAAGGATGGAGCTTGATATTGTACAAGTAGCAGTTCACCCCAGCTGGCCTTGTTGTGCCTAATAACCTCTGGAATATACTAAAATACATATAATGATATATAATAATACACTTAATGGCCACAAGCTATCAGGTATTTGGTCAGCGTCTACACGATACAGAAACAGTAAATATATATATCAAAAAATGACAAAAATAATTCAATAATCCGTGACGTAGACCTCCCTGACTCACGCCGACATGACTCGCGCTGCCGACGAAGGTTAGGTTACCACAACAGTATAAATATTTTTAACAATCATTTCGTGTCTCGTTAAACGCATCGTGTGACAAAGATTATAATTAAAACATTCATTGATTCAACATAGCGTATCTCAAACACTCAATGATCGATGCTGGTGTCAATACCCTTCGATTATTTCCTCTCCGTTTGGTGTCGTAAATCCATGTGCTTTTAAAAACTCCATTAGTAAGGAGTATCCGACACACTATGTCACCCGATGTATATAATGAAGTAAAGAAATACGACTTCGTGACCGTTCTTATTTTGTTTTAGTGGTTGTCGTCAGTGTAAGTTTATTGCATTGAATAATGTATGATATGAGCGTTGTTATACTTGTTGTAATCGAGTGAATTATTCTTGTTTTTGCCGGTGTGTGTGTGTGTGTGTGTGTGTGTGTGTGTGTGTCAGAGAACTGGTTACCTAGCTTCAGTGACAGTACTAGGATCCCGCTTCCTCTATCAAGGAATAAAATATTGAGATTGAAATTGAATTACCTAGCTCTGATAAAACTCGTCAGGTTAGGTTTTACTGTTAATTTTCGATGCCAATTGTACTATAACTACACGAATCAAATCATCCATAAAAAAAAATACGCTCAAGGCCCCATACGTCACCGCCAAATAGTTCTCAAGTTTAACACAATTCACAGTTCAGACAACGACCCAGTTCTCCCAAAAATTAATAAAGACTCCAAGAATATCAAGTCACTGCCATGAATTCTCTTATATCATAGAATTTCTATACTAACAAAGGCCAGATTGTTAAGACGATTAGATTAATACGGCGCATAAATAAAGCCGTAATTTGTTTAGTCATCCCTCGAACGCAACAAGCATTCTCCTTTAGTGAGACGAGTCCGCGAAGTAATAGGCTGTCGTGTGGCTCGCGTGACGGACTTCTGAGGGAGGGAAGGGGTTTGGTTGGGGTGTGGAAAGAGGGGAAGGGGGCAGGTAAAGGGGGGAATGGGGGAGCTGAGATGGGGTTCAGTCGGGGAGCGTCAGGTAAAGGTCAAATCTTTGTATTTGAGTCTTCATACCCAAGGGTTTAACTCATCGTTCTCACGGGTTTTGTCATCCTATTCAAGGGGGTTAAAGCTTCGTACTCGCAGAGGTTAAGTCATCAGTGGCGGCTCGTGAAAAATAAAATGGAGGGACTGCAAGCCTCACACAACAGTAGGATACACAAATTTGACCTACCTCAGGTATGAGTTGTAGTTGATGTCCACGAATTCCCAGGGCATGGTAGAAGTGTTGGTGGTGATGGACCAGTATTAATTGAAAATAAAGTCGGCGTGTCTGCTCTTCGATGTAGCAAAATTGTTTATTACTATTTCATTAAAATCCTTTATTTCTGTTATCATTTTATTTTCAATGGATATCACTGCTAAAGCAGACAGTCTGTCATTCTGATAAACACTCATGTTAAACTGGCGTGTATATTCTTTGTTCCTGCTTGTACTGTTCTGTTGAATGGATAAAACTGGTGTAGGTCTTCCTCTTGCTTTGATTTCAGTCTTTTCATTTAATGTCAGCTGGGAAAAGTTGATGTTTTGCAAATACTTCACTCGATTTTCCATCGTCAAAGGGTAATTAAAGAAAGCACGATTTAACCACACCGTCCACACGTAATGTAAACACCAGACTGAGCGGCGCCAATTAATAACAGACATGAATCGTACAGCATTGACAGCAACTATGAAAGTAACTTAAATTTTGGTCTGATTTTAATGAAAATTCACTTAGCAACGTATTGAAAATAATTAAATAACATATAAAATGATATATTTGTTGGTAGTGTATTATTCAGCTGTCTCTCTAAAGGAATCATACGCCTGGCAGTGAGTGTCTGGGGGGACTGCAGCTCTGCAGCCCTATGCACGAGCCGCCACTGTAAGTCATTATACTCATTGGTTTAAGTCCGTCTTATTCACGTGCTTAAGTTTTCGTACTCGTGGGGTTAAGTCACTTTCATCATAGAATTTAGTCATCGTGCTCACCGGGAAAAGGAGCCAAGGGTTTAATTCATTGTACTCTTCGGGTTAAAGCAGCGTACTTTCGAGGTTTTATCATCACACTCGGGGTTCATTAGCTTCAGCTATCATACTCAAAAGATTAATAGAAAGGAGATTGACAGACAGAGGGAACGTTACAATCTGACATAATTTTTTACATGTAAATAAGATAAATATAAAATTGCATTCACGTTTTGTCATGATACCTTCTGCTAATCATTATTTTTTGGTGTGTGTTGCAGCAAGATGATGCCCAAGAGATATGGTGAAGCTGGGAAGGAACAGTATCTTGCAGAGTACATCAGATACCGACGACTGAACGGAACTAAGAAAAGTAGACCGCCGAGGTTAAAGCCACTCGACACGAGCAAGAAATCGAACGCTGACAGTGATGACAAAAAACAAAACACTAGCAAGGGGGACTCAACTAAAACCGACGACACGGCAGCCAAGAAACGAGAGGAGGAGAGACTTAAACAGGAGCAAGAAGAGAAGAGAAGGAGGGATGGTGATGACGGGAGAAATACAAATGGCGATGACAAGAGGCGGGAGGAGGACGATGGGAGGAAAAAGGAGGAAGATGAAAGGAGGAAAAGGGAGGAAGATGAGAGGAGGAAGAGGGAGGAAGACGAGAGGAGGAAGAGGGAGGAAGATGAGAGGAGGAAAAGGGAGGAAGATGAGCGAAAAAAGAAAGAGGCCGATGAGAAGAGAAAGAAGGATGAAGATGAGAGGAGAACGTGGGAAAAGGCAGAGATAATTAATAAAGAGGATGAAGAGAAGAAACGAAGAGAAAGTGAAGAAAGGAAAAGGAGAAGGGGAGAAGAAAAAAGGCTCGCAGAAGAGAGAAACAGGCGGGAAGAGGAGAGGAGACGGCGAGATAAAGAAAGAAGGAGGCGAGAAGAAGAAGATAAAAGGAAACTGGCAAGAGAAGAAGAAGAACGCAAGCGCAAAGAAGCAGAGGATAGACGTCGAAAAGGAGAACAACGGCGCAAAGCGGAAGAGGAAAGAAGACGAGAGGAAGAGGAAAGGAGAGGTCGGAGGCAGGTAGATGAAGCAGGGAAACGTAAGCCGCAGAGTCAGAGTGCCTCCAACGGGGATGGGAATAACCCTGGAAGGGACGGCGACGGGGTCAGGAGTTTAGATCGTAACCCCAAAAAGACGTATTCGGAGAAAGTGACGGAGGTAGAGCAGGCTGACGATTTCCAGGACTTCTGGAAGTGGATCCACAACGGCAAGAAGGACGACTTCGGGGTGTCAAAGAAGCTCCTGTTGCTAGAAAAAGACTGATTGAAGCTGTTGAAAGTTATCAAAGAAATGTAAGCTTTATTATTCTCGGTGTATGATATTTGTTAATTAAAGCTTCAATTACATAATTATCTGTGGCTGATGGCGGTCATCTAGGAATTTATTTACTGTGACTTAACCTACAATCAGTTGCTGAATCTGAAACTCCTGTCTGATTCCTTGACGTGAATGAGGTAGTATTTACCTTCTCGACCCTCAAAATATTATTTTATTGATGAAAGGCATGTAATATATATTTATAGCGTTATTGGAAATTAGTTCATATATGATAAAATGTGTCGTTTCCCATAAGAAATCGTTTACATCAGAACCAAACTATCTTCAAATTACGGTAGTTAGGTTAGTAATTACATTAGGCATTTGTAGTGTATTAATATTGTCTACCCAATAAAGTAGCCCTACTTAGCGTGACATATGTATATAATAGTGTGTGTGTGTGTTTGTACACATGTGGATATAGATATCAACAAAGCTGCACGGTTGTCAATCTGTGGTTCTCCCCCACCCAGCTGTATGGCAGCGAGACATGGGTCACATAAGGAGATACCTCAAGGCACTCGAGAACTTTTAACAACATAGTCTATGTCTCATCCTCCAAGTCCGCTAGGAAAACAAAGAGGATAATGCCAATATCCTCGCTTACACGCAACTGTAGGAGCTTGCCTGCTCTTTCATGTTACCTCTGTCTCCCAGCAAATCTGCCTGTCTGTTTTTCTGTCTCATAACTGTCTCTATCTGTTCGTCTTTACCCATCTATATCTGTGCCTTGTCTCAATGTTTATATTTCCATTTGTCTGTGTATCTAATTCTCTCTCTCTCTCTCTCTCTCTCTCTCTCTCTCTCTCTCTCTCTCTCTCTCTCTCTCTCTCTTTAAGTCTTGCAACACACACAGCATCACTAGTGTGCACAGTGATGCGTGACAATTCCTTTGTTCGAGACAGTGGCTGGCTATGGCCTCGTGCTACTATAACGCCTTCTGTCACCAAGTGGTTTCGAAGACTAAGCCATCCTTCTATACAGGGTTGATATTTAAAAAAAAAAAGTTCGTGCAGTGAATATTCCTCGACTAATGATGTAAGAGTATGACGAACCTTTTGACGTAGAAACTATAAATTACATCCAAAATTAATGTCAGAAACAGAGTTAAGGTAGAGAATCTTTTCCATAGGATCTGTTAGTGTAATCACGTTTGTTTGGTAATAACCTCTTAATGAGGACTCGTGGTTGAAATTTCGCGCCTAAAGGGTTATCGGTCAAATGAACGTATCAGTGTAATGTCGTTGATATTTTTGAAAGTAATTTTAGTTCTTAAGTTTAAATCATCCAATCAAGGAAGGACTCTGTAAGTGTGATCGTGTAGTGATCGTGTACAAAACTATTATTTCTTGCTTGTAGAATTCGTAATCTAAGAGTTTAGTATTTCAATGATAGCCTCAAACTAGCTCGCATTACCGGGTATTCATTATATGAATACTGTGTGACGGACAATGTAGCCTAAGAATTGTTCCAGACTATCACCGTAGGTAGATAACCCTTATATTTAATTAGACTAAGAAAAAAAGTACGATTTTGGAGGATACGAACCCGTTAACTCGTGTGTGTGCGTGTACGGAAAATATATTGTGCATTTTCAGCTATTCATATGTTATATTTTGCTATAAATGCCCACCTCGTGACTTAATTCCTAGCATTATGGTCCCGTACATTGTAGAGATGATAATATATACACATCCTCCAATTAGGTACAGTGCATCATCCCCTCCGCCCCGCCCCCCTCAGGGTAGAAGAACACCCATCCTCTCCCGCACCCACAGAAGGAGAACAAGTACCCTCCTTCCTCTATTGAAAGGGGGGAGGGGGGGGGTATTAGAAGCATATTTGAGTGCCGTATCAACTGTTGTTGCCGGGAAGTGAGTGTACAGCGGTGGACTGAAAACAAAACACCATTACTCTCACCTCCACTACTACCACAAACAAAGAGCTGGTGTAAGTTTTAACCAGTTACAGCTTCTATTGACGTATATGCACCGGTATATTGTGGTTGTCTATAGGTATGGGAACATGTCAGATTCAAAGGAAATAGGCTACTGTTTTATGGCGTCTGTGTGTGTACGGGAGACAATTAATAGTGGTGTCATTGAGATATTATCAACGTCTCCTGTATATATATATATATATATATATATATATATATATATATATATATATATATATATATATATATATATATAGAGAGAGAGAGAGAGAGAGAGAGAGAGAGAGAGAGAGAGAGAGAGATATTAATAGCTTCTATACACACCTAAGAGTATATTTATCTCTTTAGCACAAACCAAGGGATATCTGTATACACGTAGGGATATATTAACTGCATGTCTCCTGTATATAATCAATCTATCTCCATAAAACCGTATCATAAACACATTCTACAGTATTTTCTAAGTTAATATCTCACTCATATTAACTTTTACTATACTGTACTAAAATAATTTTCAAACGCACTTCGATTTACCCATCCATTTTGTCTGTGATAATTTACTATAAACTACTTTTATTACATGACTTGTTTCCTTATTCCTTCCATTCGCAGGATCTTCGAAGTCAAATTGAAAAATAAATAAATGCATTTTTATTTGACAAGAGAAATTTTATCGATACATTGCCTTGGCTCATTAATATCAGGATATATAATAAACACAGTGATATATTCTGTAGATATTCATCATAAAGTTTTCCTTAATATCTTGATACAATAAAAGTCAAATATAAGGAAAACAATTAAAACAAGTATATAAACTATTGTCATGACCCAAACTCCATTACAAAGACAGGCTGACAGGAAGTAATCCCTGTAGAAATTCACCTCTAAAGCGGTTGGCAGTGAGATGACAACACAGTAGTGACCGGGAATGGCCAAACTAGGAGCAACAAATTTTTATATATTTCTTTTTCTTTTACGGGATTAGTCCACCAGGCCACAGGTCAATGACTTACATCAGGGCCTGGGGGCGAAACAAAATATAAAATGATAAAAAAATTAATAACAAATTATAAAATATATATAATCAAATATAATAATAATAATAATAATAATAATAATAATAATAATAATAATAATAATAATAATAACAATAATAATAATAAAAGATCAAGAGTGAGAAATGATATACTGTACAGGAGTACGTCAAAGTAAGAGAAACAATTGAAACCCTGCCATTGAGTGTACAGTTTTTGATTACAATATCAAAGCAAATGTGGTGACAACAAAGAGCTAGTTCCTGGGAAGGCTAACATGGTGTTATAAAGTACTAGTTGCTGTCGAAGCTGGCAACAATAAGGTGAAAACAAACCCAAAGACTATATACTGTATCTTTGATCAAACCTTTGTTCGTGAGAAAGCAGATGTGACAACAACCCCTTAGTTCCTGGGGAAGATGGCATGAGCGGCGGCTGTCAAGAGGAGACCAGAGTTGATTGTGGCTGAGGCCGGGCAGCTGTTACCAGGGATGTTATGAATCACGTGGCCATCGTCATCGCCACCTCCGCCGCCATCTGTCATGAGAACATCCATCAGCGAGTTTCTCAATAGGCTCAGGAGTAAAAGGGCTCAGGCAAGACCCGAAAACATTCCAGGTTAATGATGTAAGAAGTAAGACCACTGAAACATTTCCCACATTAGAGAATAGCATAAGGTACTGTGTATAGACATAACTAAGTTTGTGGCTTTACGATATACAGCTCTGGGTCATAAAATTTCCTACGATCATTAGTCCTCGTAAATGATACTGTAAAAATACAACTACCTGGACGACTTAAATTAAAACACAAAAATGACTTAAAAAAAAAGCAGCATCAAAATTAACACCGAAACTCTACCTTAACTATATACCTAAACTATATATCATTAAAGAACTGTTGAAGCAAATACCGTTAAGGGGTTTGTTCCCTGGTCCTTTGTTGCACTTAGGAGTGTCACAGTAAGTCTGGTAGATCATGAAAGTGGAGTCTGGCAGCTTATGGAAGCCATTTTTAGGGCAATCCTTCTGGCAAGAGCGGGAGAAGGATATTACCTTACCTGTATGAGGGAAATAAAGAACGAACATATGATAATAGTTAACATACACGTAGAAACTAAAATTATAATGCTGAAAGAAGAGAATCTGAGACGAATTAAACTATATTATATAACCCTTTTGAGGACGGTGGTTTAAACTTGAACCTGGAGTGTACTACTGTTGGAGAGGGCATACCTTTTTCCTCTAGGTACTCCTGCCGAAGGATGGTACAACACATATTGTCGCCTTGTTTACAGTTGGTGATGGGCGAGCCATTCACCACATCAGATGGGTTGTTCACGCATGTCAAGTCGTTCATATTACTGACGCAAGTGTAGCACTCGAGACCTGGGGAGAAGAGAACACCCGTAACATACCTGGGAGGTAAATAATACAGCTCTAATTTACGTGATAAGACAATAATACAATTGTAACTTACCTGGGAGGTCAATCATACAGCTCTAATTTGCCTGGGAGGTCAATAATACTCCTTTAATTAACCTGGGAGGACTATAATACATCTGTTATAACAAAAATTGATGCACACAAAGTGCCACCGATAAACAAGAGAGACATAACTACTAATTGTCTTATCAGTTGTGTCTTGTGTGCATGTGTGTGGTGCAGATAAGATTAAATCGGTAGTGATAACGGCAACAAATGATAGCACCTGTGGTATGGTTCTCAAATTTCGCTCTATAACCCTTCTAATTGGTTAACTTTAGCTACGACACAAAGAGGGATTTTCAAAGGATTGTTGGGTAAATTTATTCTATAACTAAAGACTTCAGAACACGGTTAACTGGTTTACTTAATAAACTATTTCCACTAACCCCTTCGCTACTGGACGCCACTTTTAATATTTTATTTGGCTAATGCCGGATGATTTATTCAGCACGTCACGCTCTCGCTCTTTCTCCGTGTTCGGTACCCTATGTGAAGCTTCCCTTGTTATATTTATAATCAAATTTGCTGACTAAAAAGGTATTTTGTACACAAATGACTACCAAACAGTTTATTAACTTTCTGATGAAGCTATCAAAACAGAAACAGCATTACAACAACACCGTCAATGGCATAAATACATTGATAGTTTTCTCAGAGTACTGTATTTATAAATAATTACGTACAGCCAGTGTTTCCTCACTTTGTCGTGTACAGGAGAGGCTGGTTCTACACGCATTTTTTTTGTCAATAACTGATAAGGTTTTGTCGCCATATAGACATCAAGTGTCATAGAAATGTGTTTTGAAAACTAGTTTGAGTTAGGAATGGAATTATAAGCACATAATCATGCTGTGGGCAAAGTTAACTGTCCCGTCTTTTTTATCCCTCAACAAGGAGGCTGATGATATATACAGTAGTAGATGTTTTATACGTTAATATTGATCATAACAATACTGTACCGTGTTAAGAGCTATCACCCCCTTACATAATAACAGTAAATGGCTATAAACGGACTTGTTGGACGCTGAACAACTTCCTTACCTTCACTCAGGGACACAAGAACTACCAAGGCAAGGAAGTAGACGAGAAACCCACGCATTTTGTCTGTTGTAGTGCTGTCCTTAATCTCAAGTCGCTTACAACCACTTATCCAAGTACATAGAAGTGTGGAAGAAGCACCAAATAGAGTGCTGGTGTGAGGGAGGTGTGGACGCACTAGGGAACACACATGTACTAACTAAAAGTGTTCTTCCTACCTCTTCCCCTTCTTTGGGGGTTTCTTATCTTATCATATCGTTCTATCGCTCTAAAACGCCATGTAAGGGAATCGTCAAAATACTAACATTTAATTTATATCAACTTTGACATTCATGAAAAATATATCACTACGTATATTGTTTTGATGAGAATGTGCATTTTTTCACTTTGGATGGACGTACGAGGGTTGCGTGTGTCTTCATTTAAACTTCTACTGATTGATGAGACCAAATCAGTGAATGCCAGAGGTAAGAGTGTCAGGGTGAGGTTGTTATCAACGGGTTTTCTTTTTGTAAAAGAAGAGGAAGTGAAAGGAAATTAGTGGTCGAAGAAAAGAATACTCAAGTTGAAGAAATAGCTGAGTACTTTCTGTGGATGTAAGAGAATGTAAAGTGTATTTGAATACTATATATACGCTCTGGGTAAGTGGTGATTTTATTCATGCTTAGTGGCTTTAAGGCCCTATTTCCTAGTCTGCCGGCGTGATTGATGGATTCTGGCCAGGAAGGTTGTCTATTATCTACAGCTAGGAAGATTAGGGGTGGTGCTAGTCCCTCTAGAATAGGAACCGTCTACGCTGGAGCAAGTAGTCTTAAGACCCTCAATCTACTGTAGTTGGATAATTGAGACGATTTAGTTAAGGAATCATCTTAGTCGCTGTTGTGGGGTTATGAGATATTGGTTCACACTCAGGATGGGATGGAGGAAGGAAACTCACAATGTGCTCTCTGTATACATATTGTATTGGATGTACAATGGAGCTTGGTGCTGGGAAGTGGCAGCGTGATGTAGAGAGAGCTGATTGGTGAGGGTGCTCAGAGGAGAACAGCTTGTGGGTCGCCATGCTCGCCGGCGGGAGCGAGGGCCGCCAGGCAGCGGCGGAGGTGTTGCTTGCTGCGGCTGTAGCTAGAAGAAGAGAGAGGTCACCACGAGGTCAGGTCTTTTATAGCGGAGGTAGGCGTGGGTAGATAGTTAACCCCCGCTCCGTGGGCGGCGCTGGTTGACCTAGACAACGAGGCAAACACTGGGGAATTCGCTGGGTCGGCTACTCAGTACTCAGCGACAAACAGCGTTTGTAGGGGAGAAATCCACTTCACTGTGTTGCACCTTTTCTGGGAATGCCTAAAGCGATTGGTCTATCACGACGTCTTGATTTTTATTTTGATCATCAGTTTCCAAGAATATCATGATAAAGAATGGGTGAGTATGGGAGTAACTAATGATAGAAAATGAGTTTGACGTAATAATGAGAGAGAATAGGTGCACATTGGGTGAGGCATGATAGAAAATGGGTGGGCATGGATGATTAACTTCTCTAAATCAGTAATTGGTAGCAGCATACCATTACACTGACGCAAACTCAATTAAGTATGCTGGATTATCAATTGTTCACAGGATGACAACAGCGTAAAATGTCATTGTTACGAAACACTGTCACCTCACTCACTCACTCACTTTCTTGACGTCACCACTCACCAAGCACTATAGATAAGCGTTATCTTGATGCGACATGTTAAAAATAATTTGAATTTCTTTATTTGGTTATCTTGTGATGTTTTATTTGACTATGTTATCAGATATATTTAACTATTTTAAGTTACCGATCGTATAAACAAATTATTAAAATTTTTGACCACTGACACATCACTTTACATGTTTAAAAAAAAGTCGGTCTTAACCTCGAATCACTGTTCTTTCATATAAAAGTTTTTATTTAGATATATTTTGTCATTTTATAAAAAGAGAGTAAGCTGATAAGTGTTCAAACAGTTTAAACTGATAATTAAATTATTATCTCGACTCACGTAATGGAAACCATAATTATTTACGGATAATTCCCGAGAGTCTATTTATTATGCCATGTTGATAGATTTATAAAGTTGTAATTATAACTTTAACTAGTGGGTAAATTGCGAAAAAGAAATTATTGTACCAGTAGTTATGGCGACAAATTCGGATACAGACAGGACGGTGTACAGAGATAGACACATTGTTCTCTTGTGGTAAAAGGAAAGTGGCGGCAAGCAGCGACTCACACGCGTTATTATTTGTCTGGAGAATTGAACATCTTTCTTGTTATAATCTTTGATTGTATTATATCACATCTACGTAATGGGACCGAGAGCTAAACCCGGGGTAAGTATTTTAATAAGCTATACACAAAAATACTTCAACCACTGGTAAAGGAGAGAATTATATCGTGTATTTTCACCTTAAATTTGGTAATTCTTGGTCACCTAAATCACCTATTTTCTACTAATATTGTACATCTGTAATGAGCGTATGTCTCACCATTGTGTCCTGAGTACAATTCTCACATGGCTGACTATACGTGAGGAATGAATGTGAACTTGTAAAATGATTTTACTGAATAAATACTGTAGCTATTTATCTACCTGGAGCCTCTTGAAGCATTTAGTGACTTTCTTAACCTTGTAGTGCCACTGCTTCTACACCATTGGTACTTGAGTGACTTGACAAACACTGGTCTCTGAATTATGTGTAATTTTGGCTGGAATGAACCATAGAGTATTGTCTGTCTTGGGTCCGACTAATTACCCAAATGTAGCCGCAATGAAGTCAAATAATAGTCCTACATGAATAAATCGGACTGCCAATCACTTCTCGACTAGTATTTGGTGTCACAAAGTAAAAAAAAAAATGGAAAACGTAATTTAATCTGAGTTAATAGATCGAGTGCATGTACCTAACCTAACCTAACCTAACGCAACTCAGATTAAATTAAGTTTACCAATTTTTTGTGACTTTATGACACCAAATAATAATCGAGAAGTGATTCACAGCCCGATTTACGCTTGTAGGACCATCTTTTGACTTCATTGCGACTACATTTGGGTACATTTGGGTAATTACTCGCTCCCTCGGTACATGCATGCGATCTATTAACTCAGATTAAAGTAAGTTTTCCAATTTTTTGTGACTTTGTGACACCAAATACTAGTCGAGAAGTGATTGGCAGTCCGATATATTCATGTAGGACCATTATTTGACTTCACTGCGGCTACATTTGGGTAATTAGTCGGACCGACGTGAACCAAAGAAATCTAGGTAACACTAAATGACAGGGGTCTGTGTTAACCAGCTACCTAATGAAAAATTTGCAAGAATAAACTAATTTGGGAAGAGGAGTTATATTATTTTCAATTGTTTCTTCCCAAATTTTCTGCAAATAAAGACTGTACATGTCATCCAGCACTCCAGCTGGCAATACTTTGTTTTGGCTTGAACTGTTGACAAATGTTTCCCCAAAACTGGCTGACCAAACCCAAATTGACGGAATGCTTCCCAGCGACCTACCTATATCAACCAAAATACTGTATTAATACCCTAGCCTACCAAACCTAACCTAACCTAACCTAACCCAATACAACCTAATAGGTAAATTTTTACAAGTGGACTCTGTGATTTTAAGGTTTTTAATGCATGCAATAGATATATCTCATCATTCCGAGTAACTTTCATTCTATACACTTCTGTCGCAAATGAATAATAATGAACCTGATAAGACCTGACCTATCTAACGAAAGAAACCTACCTAACTTCCTAGCTGGGGGATCCCCCCCCCCCCCTGGACCCCTTGCCATATTAAGCAGAAAGTACTCACCGGGTATTATGTTATCTGGTACCAATAAGAGCAAATTTGTTGGAGGAATATATATTGTAAATAACCAAAAAAATTAAATATCATGCTTAATGTAATTTGGGATAGAAATGCCATAAGGAAAAGTCATAAGAGTTGGATGAGATCTACCTATAGCAACTATTCATTTGGAAACATCTTTTGAGAGTCCACTTGTAAAATGATACCACCTAATAAACCTTGAGGTGTTCATGTGTATGGAAGGACAATGGTGGGAAGGGCTTCTGTGTATTGCCAAACTAATACTGTCCAGTATTATAAGAATTGCAAATCCTATTTGTCTTTTGGGGGGAAAATCTTCCTGTCAGAAAAATTTATCATTATATAAAAAAAAAATTTGATATACTGTAGTTGCTGTTTCTTAGTGAGCATGATTCATTCCTAGTCACATAAACAGTTGATACATAAACAAACATGGCATTATCATCAGGTGAATGGAATGGGGTTTCTTTCACCTCTTTCCGTATGTACAATACCTATTTTGTTAAACTTGAAATTTCAAACATCGTACCTAAAGTTCATAAATAGAGAAATACTGTAACTTTATAACCAAAAATAACCAAACTACAGTACAGTATACCTAAGATCAGTAGGTGAGGTTAAGCTTAGGCATAACATAATTACTGTACTATATCATATAAATTTTAGGAGGGCATTGTGGTGGTGATGGATGTCGGCCCTGGCGTACGAGCAGGAGTAGGTGAAACATTCTTCTCTCAGTCCAAGACATGTTTAGTAAATATCCTGCAGAGAAAGGTAATGTATTATGCTTATACTGTACATAGCTGCTTGTCTTGTATACAATGGACAAAGTGAAAAATAGTTTTCAAGGAAAGTTTTATTTTTAGATGCTTGTTTATTAAGTTTGCACCTATACTGAACCTCTTTATTTACAATAATTATATGGTGCTGGTTGTGTGCATAAAACAAATTAAATTCTGCAGCTGTTTGCTGAAAAATGTCGAGACATGGTTGGCATAGTGTTGTTTGGCACTAATGACACGGAGAATCGTCTTGCAAAAGCTAACCAGTACCAGCACATCACAGGTGAGGTGTTAGAGTTTCCCTGTTATTAAAGTTATACAGTTCTTGTTCTGTTACCATTTTTACTTTATATAATCTAGATTTTTATTGTAGGCCTTTTGGCCTCCCCAACACTGTTCACAGGCACTACAGTATTCATTTATGGCTACTGGTAGCTATACTTAGTTGGGCAGCTCAAGTAGAGTGCACACTGAGACCCGACATTAGTGAATGGGAATAATCTAAATGATTTGTATCCTTCTTCAGGGAATGAATGGGTATTGTTGCCTCGGAAAAACAAGATGGCTGACCCAAATGGAGGGGCAAGGTGCATATTCATGAGCTTGTTCTGACCTCATGTTGTTTAGTGTCAATTAAAGAAACAGTTACTTGTACTCGACCTTATAAGGGTGACATTTGCAACAGTGATGGATCCTGTACTCCTTATTTAGATTAGCCTCAAGCCACTTGTATTATATCTCCTGGTTATAGATCATAGGCTTAGAATGTGTGTGTGTGTGTGCATTATACTTCAGCCATCTAGTTTCAAGAGATTTGAATGTCAATCATTTGTTCTTTTTTTGGTATTGACTTCATTCTTTTCCATCTAATAAAATATTTTCACATTTCAGAATGTAACCAAACGATAATCTGTTCTTAATTAGACTAACTTGAACGATTATATTTTCCATAGTAATGAAAGAGCCAAGGTTTGTGGATTGGCAGATGATAGCTGAAGTGGATGACCTTCCTCGTGGGAATTCCCCGGGAGACTGGCTAGATGCTCTCATAGTTGCCATGGACCTTTTGCAAGACCCTGAGTGAGTATCATATGGCCTTCTTATTTTGTTGTGTATTTTTATGTTAACTGGTCTAGGACCAGTGTGAATGATAGGCACATCTGCCTCTGCATACAGGTACGGGTATCTCATGATACAGTATATGTTCAGGTTGCATTCCTGAAAACCCAGTCTTTAAGTGAACATATTTTAGCATGGTGTTGATGGGGCTACATTCCATGAGTCAGTCAAAGTGGGAGTTTTCATTCAGATAAGCCCAAAAATCATGATATTAAAAATTCTCAATGCCACAATATCATGATGCAGTATTAAAGTGATGTAATTGTATGTAATAGGTGGTCACGTCGTGTAAGAGTGGTGAGTGAAAAAAAACTGATGCACGTATTGTAGTGTATTTTACGCTTTATAAGGCACAATTGTTCATTGCATAAGTTGTGGTAATGAATGATTTACTGAAAAGCATCATATTCAACTGACCACTGCTACCACCACCTCACTCCACAACGACCACCACCACTACACTGCACTAGCTAGCCAGCACATACAGTAATACACTTCTTACTATTGGTAAGTGTATGGCATTAATACATTAAGCATGTGATTATTGTAAGAATGCATAAATAAATTACATAAGATGTCTAATGAGTGATTTACCAAGAAGTATATGCATTGTATTATCTCTCTCATAAATGATGGTTAAATAATTTCTAATTTTACATCTAAAATTATAATTTCACTGTTTTTGGTGAAGGATGCTTGTATTTATTGTTGGTAATTTAAAGATAGGCAAAACCTGCTACTGGAGGTAAGAAAACACTCAGAGAGTTTTGGAAGGGCTACAACATTTTGCAATGTACAAAGAACATAGCTGCAGCATGGGATGAGGTTACAGGTCAGTGCATGAATGTGATATGGAAGAAGGTCCTGAAAAGATATGTGAACAGTTTCAAAGGATTTAATGAAGATGAAGCAATTTCTGAGATTAGTAACAAGATAGTGCAGATGGGTAAATAGTTGGAGCTAGAAATTGATAATGAAGATGTTGAGCAGTTGGTGGAAAGTGTAGCAGAAGAGCTAAGTAATGAGGATCTTATTGAACTGGATGCACAGAAAATTGCAGCGGAAGAAGAGAGACAAGATGTAGAAGTAGAACCTGCACCCCTCAAAAAGTTTTCATTGAAACAAATGGCAGAGGCATTTGCTACTATTAATAAAGGGATGCAAATGTTTGAAGAAATGGATCAAAATGTTGAGCATTTTGCAAAAGTTGCCAGACTGATCCAAGATGCACTTGCTTGCTACTGGGAGATTTACAATGAAAAGAAAGGGCAAACTGTGCAGTCTAAATTGGACATATTTTTTAAGAAGTCCCCCACTGTTGTCTCCTCACGCCCCACCACTGCTGCCTCTTCACTTCCTAAAGATGATCCAATACCTTCAACAAGCAAGTATGTTAGCCTGTTTGAAGAAAGCAAACTTGATGACCCACCCAGCCCTGTCTCCTCCTCTGCTTCATCCAATTAATGTAGTCTCCGTGCTTAATTAAAATATTATTGAGGCCCCGTGTGCATTCAGCTGACTACGTTAAAGGTAAGTGCACAGTAACACTTTATTCATTTTTCATTATTGATTACTTTTACTCTACTGTATTTCATTTTATAATTTCTATGTAATATTCTCGTCTTTTCGACTTATGACCAATTTGACTTACGTCCTGGTCGTCGGGATGGAACCCCGTCGTAAGTTGAGGAGAGACTCAGTAATGGTACTCACAGGAATAGTTTTTCTTTTCTTCTTTTTGATGTTTGTTTCCAGTATCACTAGAGTACAGTATTGGGGGAGAGTTGGCCAAGAAGATTCTGGATGCAACAACAAGAAACAAATAAAAAGTGATGAGTTTAAGAGCAACATTTATATTGAGCAGAGAATAAGAGAGACAGGGAGATGTGGGAGGGGAGGGCATGTTAGACAAAGACCTGACTGGGGATTCCTGAAGTGATATAGACACAGTGAAGGAGGTAGAAAGGATTGAGTGGTAGAAAGAGTATTTAAATAGGCACTGGATATTAGGAGAGACAGGAAAAGACGAAGAAGGAGACAGACATGATGGGGAAAGTAGGCACTAGACAGAAGAGGGAATATATCTAGTAAGCAGCAGTTTGTGTATGTTTGAAAAGCTTGGTGTTATGAAGATGGCCTTGATGTTTGGAGTGACATGGATTACCAAATGGATATCTTAGGTATTTACTGGGGAAACACTTATAGCATGGCAGCCAAATGAGGGAAAATTAGTTGGGATTGGTTGAGGCTAACTTGTGCTATAGTAAGGCATCTAATAATGAAAAAAAAATGTGGCTGTTTTTTGAAGATATTATGGGTTTTGGTAGATCAAAATGTGTTATTTTTTGTAATATATCTCACATTCCTCATCCCAGGGCTTGTGTCAGAAATTAATTCAATATTGTAATTTTGTCTTTTCAGTGATTTACAGTTTTGCAGTAAGAAGATTGTCCTGATAACAGACTTCAGTGGGGAGTTCAGTGATGATCAGTCCTCTAAGATTATTTCAGGACTTAAGAATACGGGTATTGACTTAAGTATAATGTAAGTGAGCATTACAGCTGTACTTGTTAATCAATCTTGAAGCTGATTACACCATTTGTTTAAAATTAAGCTTATGATTAATGATCACAATAAATGCTGATTATGACTATACAGTGGTTCCTTGATTAACGAACACAATTGGTTCCACAGAGTCGTTCGTTAACCGAAAATTTCGTTAACTGAATCTAATATTTCAATGGTATATTGGGTAATTGGTTCCAACTCACAGAAAAAGTACATACGTACGAAGTACTGTATACCGGTAATAGAATTAACAAAACATTAAATATAAACTAAATACAGTACTGTACTGTACAGTATACTGTATAATAATAAATAAAAAACAATAGAATACTATATTTTAACTTACTTGTCATATTCCCGACAGCTTTGTTTACATATCAAACAGCTGATTGTAGAGGCAGTCGATGATGACATGCCATATTCTTTACAGAGTGCATTGGTTCTAATGCCTTCTTCATGTTTCATAATAATTTCTGCACTGTATATTATCAATATGTTAACTAAATTTCAGAATGACCAATAATTTTAATGTAAAAATGCAAAAATATTCAAGAGACCAACAAACTGGATGTTCACTCTACTGTAAACAAAGTTAAACTGAGAAGCATTGGTGGGTGATTCGATCAGCTGATTGGTACACAAAAACTGTTCCCTGTACTGTATATATTATCAATATGTTAACTAAATTAGAATGACCGATAATTTTAATATAAAATTTGCAAAAATATTTAAGAGCACAACTTTCTTGATATTTACTCCATTGGAAACGAATGTAAACATAGAACCAATTTCTTGCGTGTTTCTCGCAAAGCTTTCGTTAATCAAAGTTTTACTCATTAATGGAATTGAAAATCCTTATTGGAGCTAATTCGTTAACCGAAATTTCGTTAATTGGCCCATTCGTTAACCCTTAAGCCCGGGTTAGGGTGCTGGTGGCAGTACCCCCCACCCGGGGGTAAATTGAGAAAAAATCTAATTTTCCAGAAATAATTTTTAACCTTTTAAAATGATAAAACAATAAAAAATAAGTAAGAAAAACTATATATTGACCCTCGAGAAACTTCTCTGGCCGAGCAGAGGGAGGGAGGAGGGGGAAAGATAAGGAGACAGTGTTAGTTTGACAGCTGACGCTCGTGGTCCCTCAGCACTTAGCAGGTATTTTTAGCACTCCTTTGTGTCTGAAGTGGTCAATAATGTATGTATTTACTAATCTTAGTATTATTTGCTATAAATAATTAATTTAGAATATTTTACAGTATTTGCATAATTTTTCATAAAAAAAGTGGTTGGCAACACTCACCATTAGGTCACCGTGTCTGCCTGGCTGTCTTTGTGTTTGGTAGAGCAAGTAATGCATAAAATAATAATAATTCCACAAATAAAAACACTTATAATCATAGCATTGTTTTACAGTAATACTACCCTACAATACAACTACACAACTTTTATCAATATTACTTTGATACAACATGATAAAATTGATAAACAATGAAATTGAAACAAACAAAAGTAGGTAATTATGTTCAGGAAGCTTCCTTGTGGCCGAGCGTGTGGTGTGAGAGGCAAATAGTCACACTGGAACCTGATAATGAATAGTCACGCTGGGCATTTAAACTGTGGCGGGAATAGGTGCGCGCTCTGGAGCGTCACCCGGGGCGCGCTGAACGTCTCCCAGGGCCTAAGGGTTAATCTAGGGACAACTGTATTAGGAATATATAATCATTAAAAAACATGATTATGATTAATTATTTGGTTACTATACTGTACTGTATTTGATTTTATGATTACTGTACAGGTATTTGATTATACCTGTACAGTACTCTACAGTATATGATTTTGAATGTGATGTAGTGTGAAGCTGAAAGTAAAATGAGTACATTTGTTATGATATAGTTTACACAAGGTAGTAGACAATAATAATACTACTGTACAAACATTTTTTTACTTGATTACTACAAACATTTTTTACTTGAATGCAAGTGAAATGAGTATGCCTTATAATAGTATATATAGGTACAGTGGTCCCTCGGTTAACGAGCACAATTCGTTCCAGAAGGTTGCTCGTGAACCGAAAAATTTGTTAACCGAAACCATTGTTTTAATGGGTTTTTGGGTAATTGGTTCCAGCTCACCAAAAATTACATACACACGAAAAATAAATGCAGTAAAGTACACTTACTTTGAGGTGTGCATGTAGAAGGCTCCTGGTTGATGATGATGATGATGGGAATTAGAATGGGGGTGGAGGAGAAGGGAGAAGAGAAGGCATTGGGGTGGAAGAGAAGTCACCCCATGCTGCCATTTCACCCATAAAATTTTAGTTCACTTGGTGTAATTCAAGATTATTTTTTTTAAATCAACACTACACTGCGTTATATATTATCAATATGTAAAATATATTTCAAAATGACCAATAATTTGACTGGAAACACAGAAAAAAAGCATTTATGTTGAAGAGTCTCAAACTAGATGTTCCTTCTTCTGAACCTGTAAACAAACTGAGGCCAAGCTTGGTGTGTTGAGTGGCTGTTTGGCGCGCATAAAACTAGTTTCCTGAACTTCAATTATATTCAATAATTGTTAAAATGACTAAAAAATTTAATATAAAACTTTTAAAATGATTGAATAGTACAACCTTCTTGATACAGGGTATTTACTAAAATGGTAAGGAATTTAAGCCCTAGAACCGATTACAGTATTGGCGGACTAATAGGACAGCTAGTGAACGAGCGAAAACATGTTGAGGGGAGCTCGTAAGGATTTCGTTAATCGAGGGATTGCTCGTTAACCGAAGTGAAGAATCTTATGGAAGGTAATTCGTTAACCGAGCTGCTCGTTAACCGAGGGATCACTGTATTGTACTATGTTTTGGACATAATGATAAAAATAAGCAAACGATAATCTACAGATTAATCAGAGTCAGTACTTGTTGAAATGTTGAATTTTCCTGACAAGCTTATATATTGCATTTTAGAAACATGAGCTCCTCAAAGTGGGCATCAGATAGTTTGCAGGGATCAGGTTGGAACATTTTGCCAGCAATTCAGAATGATTGTCAAATTTTGATTATGATTACACAGTACAGTACTGTGATTAGTAAATGTTTTCACATCATGATTACAATTATAATAAAGATTTTTAATCATCCAAAAAATCATTGTAGGAAATATGATTATTTGATTATGATTAATAACAAATCAGTCCCTTGTCTGCTTGTTATTAATCACATGTTTTCAGAAGATGTACTACCTAATTGTCCTGCCACTGACCATAGTTTGATTGTATTAGATCATTATACTATACCTCCTTTATAATTCACTAGTAAGGTCAGTGTTGTCTATAACTACAGTAACCAATTTATATGTTCACTATATAACTTGAGAAATGAATGAGCTGCTTTAGTCATGTGTGGTACAGGCATGAGATTTTTTTCCTTGTATGTCTATTGGATAGTTGTAATGTGAATTGTAATTTTGAATTTTACTGAATTCTACCACCAGTGGGCCAAATATGGCGGATGTGGACGATGACGAGGATATGGATGAACCCGGACCATCCAATGGAGCAAGTAAAGATAAGAATAGGAAAGGAGCTGTACCCCAGAACTGGAATGGTAAACCTAAGTCACCAGTCCAGCTAGCAGGTGAACTCCTTGCGACCAGGATTGTGACAGAAGTTAGTATTGTATAGACTTAAGTACAGTGAACACTCAAATTACATGAGATCAATATAGTACTCACAGTACACAATTTTGCTATAGAATACCAAGTGTAGTAAGTCCCTTTTTTATTTTTACATTTGAGGTTCATTAAATATACCTTTTAATTCATTATTTCCTTAACTACAAGTGAAGTACAGTATATGAAAGGAAGGAATATTGTTTGGAGGTCAAGAAATGCTTCCTTTTATTTGTCATGAATAGTTACCATTGATTTAAACAAGTTTAGTTTACACACCATTCTCTAGGAACATGACCCATGTGTAATTTTAGGAATTGCTGTACTGTATGTGATTTATGGTTATTGTATGATTTAAGAATATAACATGTAGCATGAAAGATTGTGAGGTTCACTGCCAGCTGTAACATTCAAGCTTCCCCATGTTTCTTGTGTATTTAGAACATGTTGATGTCAAATAGCTAATGCTCCATTGTAACAGTTCCCTGCACAGTAGCTTCAAGTTTTTTGTGAGATGGGGACTGAGAAAGTTTGTGAATTGTATAATCATGTTATAGAAATATAGTATTACAGTACCTATCTATACTGAACTGCTCCTCAAATTTCAGTGTTACCTCTCTGTACTGAACTGGCTGCTTACCAATTATTTTGGTATACTGTTGAGAGATAACAATACATACTGTACATGTACAGTATGGTAATTCAATACAAAATAAGGGGTTAGGAACTGGAGAGCCAAAAAAAATCACCGAGCCAAAAAAAAAATCACCAAATAAAAGTTAAAAGGTTTATTTGCTTACTAGATACAACCAACCAGTGTTCTAATACATCAAGGAAAAATAAAAATAAAGAAAACTGTACAGAAACAAATCAAATTTCACAGCAATAGAAGAATATAGAGGTGTATCATAATACTACGTCACAGCCCTGCAGCCTCTGACTTACCCAGTAACAGCACTAATCAACATCTTGAGAAAATTTTTCTGTAGAAGATGGGAATAAATAAGTTTTTCTTATTGCTTATACAGAATTAAATCTGTACCAGATGTAAACATTGGAGCTATTGCATGTTAATGTGCAGCTGTCCATATGTTCAGGATGGCATCCACACAGTGATTCCCACTACAAAGAGTATACTGTACTGTAGATAATAAAAATATTTTAAATATCAAGAAATGATATCTTGATCAAGGTTTATTCATTAATCTATTGCTTTATTACATACAATAGGCTAAACATTACATCAGGGACTGATGGTACCTAAATTTGTTTTATTAAATTAGGTATAAAAGGTCACAAAATAACCAAAGGCAGCTGCTGTATCTGATGTTATTACATTTCCTTTTTTCCATCACAATATAGTCATTCTAAAAGTTAATGGTATGATTTTTTGTTTTTGTTTCACAGGTTGATGGCATATCATGCAGCTTTGATGAAGCCATTCCACAGCTCATATTCTTTCAAAGAACCTCTGCATCTAGTATGAATTGGAACACCGAATTAGAAATTGGCCGAGAGTTACTGATTCCCATCACTGGCTTAATCAAGGTTAAGATATAATACAGTACAGTACTTTACTAGGTTTTAGTTGTCAACTTCAACACAGATAGAATTTCGAGGTTGATAGTAAGAGTTTGTTGTGTGGTGCATAAGCCTCTCTATCTTGGGCACCATTGTCCTCCGTATTGACTGTTTTGAGGGAGTAATATTTTCACAGTAGAGTATTGTAGTGGTCGAATATATAAAGTACATTGAGCTCATAAACCTATGTTGGCAGAATCCTAAAAAATTACATTCAGCATAATGCAGTGAATTTAAGAATTTTTATTTTTTTTTTTTTTTATTCACCAATTAGATCGAATATTTGAGCTACTTGAAAAGACTAGGTGAACTAATCATAGTTTATCTCAGGCAAACTAAGAGTATGTCATCTCATGAGGCTATGCACGTGAACCTCGTTACATTATACTGTACTGTATTGTACTGTACTGTACTGTACTGTACTGAGGCTCTTGATCCTTGAATAAACAAAAGAGCAGGGTTTGTATAAACAAACCCTAGGTTAGGTTTTAACCACTTGTCTATGGGATCCCCTCTGTGCTGAATAAAATTGTCTGTTATTAGCCAAATATATAACTGGTTAATGATCTGCTTGAAATATTTAAGACCTTTCTCTTTCCTGATACTGTATATAGGTGAAGCGTCAAACAATCCCCACATGGAAGACAAAGTACGCCCATGATGAGTCGGAAGAAATTTTGAGTGAAGCGTCCTACCATCGCCAGGATGATGCACAAACAGTAGTTGAAGCTGAGGAAGTTATTCCTGGTTACAAGTATGGAAAAACATTGGTTCCTGTCTCAGGTAAACTTTCATTTTTAGTGAAAATCCCTTTTGATGTATTGTATACAGGTTGTACCTCTCTAGTCCGGCATTCTGTGGTCTGGAAACTCCCGTGGTTCGGAACGATTTTAGTTTGTCCAATAGGTAGATAGGCAGCTTTTTTTTTTTTTTTTTTTGCATTATTATTATTATTATTATTATTATTATTATTATAATTACAGGAATATTAAATTTTTGCCCCTCAGGCCCCAATGTGGGTCAGTGACCTATGCCCGGGTGGGCCAATCCCCATAAAAAACAACAAAGCTGGGGGAAATTAAGGTTTGTTTACATCCGGCAGGTCGGCTGCTCCCTCTCTCTCTCTCTGCTTGTCTATACAGAGTACAACATTTAACCCTTCAGTATATATGAGCAGTAAACGAGTGTTGCTTTCATATTCTTATGTAGAGTAATGACGATATGTTTTCACATACGCGCAGTCTCACTTTTTTTCTTAACCATTAATGGTTAGCTACTTATATTGTTCCATTTATTACATTAAATAACATTACTTCAAACAAGCATATTAATTTTTTTACATTAATTTTACTACAGCTACAATCAGGGTCTTATTTTCTTCAGTTTTATATGTAGAACCAATCAGTCACTGGTTTTGTAAGAATTAACGAAAACAATGCCGGCAGTCGTCTCGTCTCCTTGTGTTAATATTCCACGTATTATTAATGAATTGTATTGTTCATTTTGCACACAAACATTAGTTCAATAAAAAAAAATCAGAAACATTAATTAAAATATATATGAACGGTAAATAAGTGTTGCTTTCATATTCTTATAAAGAGTAATGACGATATGTTTTCACATGTGCGCACTTACATACGCGATCTCTCTTTTTTTCTTTACCATTATCGTTAGCTACTTCTATTGTTCCATTTATTAACATTAAATAACATTACTTAAAACAACCATATTAATTTTACTACAGCTACAACCAGGGTCTTATTTTCTTCAGTTTTGTATGTAGAACCAGTCAGTCACTGGTTTTGTAGTCAACGAAAATAATGCTGCCATCATTGAACTTGAACATAAGCAAATCTTATTCCCTTTTGAGATGGGATTGATTTCACGGGTGTCTGTAACAGTTCCTGTTTCCTCCGCTTTCTTGAGACAAGTTACATGTAACATGTCATACCAAATGTTGAAACTGACTGAACATGCTCTAGATGCCACACTACCTGGACAACCTGAATTTTCTTCATCCGCTGAGCAGCCTCACTTATAGCCTCTGCCACATTTCTTTACCTGTATCAAAGTTTCTTCCAGTGTGACATTCAGACATGGTATTCCTTCAAAGCTCAGTGTACATTTTCTTCCTGTATATAATAGAAACCTTTTATATCTTTGCATTACTTTGTAGTAAACTTGTTTTTAATAATACTAATGTTCTTTTTCAATTTATGTATTTTTGAACAGATGAGGATGCAAAATTGAAGTACAGTTCAAACAGTCCTCGATGTCTTACTGTATTAGGACTTACCAAGTCATCATGCGTGCCTCACCTAATGCGTGCTGGGGATCAAGTTTTGGTCGTCATTGCTCGACCAGATGAGGAGGTACAGTAATTGTAGAAATGGTTGATTTTGTCCTTCAAATGTGAACAAACCAGGTTCCTTTGAAATGTTGACAACTTGACACCAACTGACTAAAGGCAGGTTGGCAGCTTGACGTAGAGGTACATTACCTGCACCTGACATAAATCACTAATCCTTAAACATGTACGGGGAGGTGGGGTCACGGAGCACCTGACTAAATCCAAAGTGTTGGGCACATGTATGTGAAAAATCAATTACCCAGCCCTAGCTCGGTCACACCCGGGTTTCCTGGAAAAAAAAATTTGTGACCTTACCAGTTTTGGTGATGTAGGCTGGAAGGAGAAGCAGGTGCTGAGCATTTAGACTTCTTGGTAAATGGTGCAAGTGGTAAACTCAAGGGAATTGAGAGTAGGAGTGAGCATCTTTAAGTGTGAGTGAGCACTGTCTGGGTAATGCCATGATTGCACATTGGGAAGTGTGCTTGTGTGGTAGAGTAAACCCTCGGTAACTCAGCATTTGATAGCTCGGAATATCATATAACTCGGCATCGATATGGTCTCGGAATGTATTAGTATAACTTGGGAAATTCCGAGATATGTAAAATTATCTGGGAAAATCTCAGCATATCTGGCCACCTGCATCACCTACCATGCCTCTGTGTCACCTACCATGCCTTTGTTTCACCTGTCATGCATCTGTGTCACCTACCATGCCTTGGTGTCACCTACTATGATGCTTTATTCTTCACCTGCAGTGTTGGTAAGTGTTACTTTTTTTACATTTAGTAATTACGTGTACACATATATGGGTCGATAATTTTTTTGTATTGTATTTTTGTAGGAAGGGGGAAGTGCCTCGATAAGTCGGGATTTGGGATAACTCAGCATGGCCAGAGCCCCATATGTGCCGAGTTATCAAGGGTTTACTGTAGGTGTATTAGCACAGTTGTTGGTTTAAAATGCTTCCAGACTAACAAACAAGTTACTGGTGTTGCAGGCAGCAGCTGTGGCACTGTCAGTCTTCATTCAACTATTAGAAGAGTTAGACATGGTGGCTATTACCAGGAGGATCTACAACACTAATTCTAATCCCGTCATGGGTGCACTCTTCCCAGATATAACAGCAGATTATGAGGTAATTATGTCCAAATATATTGCCTTCAGCGTCAGTAATTCTAGAGAGCCTCTGAGTAGTGAAAATTTTTCTAAGTTAGACTAATTAGTAGAAACTGGTTAAATAAGCCCCAGTCATAGCAGGATTAGGGCTGAATTATAGTAAGCTCAAATCCAAGTAAACATCAATATTAATGGTTCCTATTTGTAATGGATTGGCTATATTAGGTTGGGCCCTTTTGGGACTGGGGGCCACTTGATTTACTACTATTTGAGGGGCTCCAGACGAGAAGAAATTAAGAACACCAGAAAATACAGTTAAGAGTTCAGTTTTTAACTATGCATAATGGTATCTTTAAACATATCTCAAGTCATTTTGACACTACTCTTGTTCCAACCCAGAGCACCTCATTTATCCACCCTCTCAATTTACTCTCACCAGGGATTGAATGTGTTACCTACCCACCCAAAGTAACATTTATTTTGTTTTAACAGTGTCTTATTTGGATACCACTTCCATATCAAGAAGATATTCGTATGTTCACCTTTCCTACCCTTCAACGCTACACGGGGAAGTTTAGTGACAGTGACACTAAGAAAATGGATGACTTAATTTCTGTTATGGATCTAACCAGCCAAGAAGAGTGAGTATTAATGGCATTGATGTTACAGTTCGTCCCCATTATTTGTCTCTATTCGTCATTTCACATATTTGTCTTTCGTCAGGAGTGGAAAAATTTTGCTGTTATTCGTGGTTTTCGTCCTTTACATTTGTCATTACCTGTTGTGGTGTACAGCCACGCTGAGCCTATGTAATTTACACAGTAATATTCATTTTCATTAAATTAATTACATAAAATTTCCTCTTTCACGAGTGATGCTAGCAATGACTAGGAATGTACTCCCACTTATTCCATTAATTCTTATGGGGAAAATTCCTCGCTGTCAGTTGCTTCACCATTCATCTCTATTTTTTATGACGTAACCTGACAAATAACAGGGACTGATCGTTATCCTAGACCCATTTTTATAGATGGATACTTTTCTCGTGCTTTGAGGTTTTGTATGTAAGGTAATTATGCATTGTAGTGTGGAATACTGTACTGTATTTAATGTGATAATTATGATGATCCCCTTCTTATGAATATTTAATGATAATAGTGAACATGGAACTTTTAGGGATAACCAAAGTACTGTAGCTGCCTTTAGATTAGGAAGTATTGAATATACAGTAGTGTTTTTGTTAGTTATTTTAATTAATTTTGATGTTAATGAAATACTGTATGTAAATGATGTCAGAGATGGAGAGGAAGATTTGGTCCCCACACAAGTGCTCAACCCTCAATTGCAGTATTTCTTCAATGTCCTCACCCACCGCACTGTTCACGCCTACGATCCCATACCACTTCCTGCCACTCATGTTGTAGTAAGTTCTCTCTTTAATTACCATTCATGTTTTTGGACAGATCTATGTGTACTATTGAAACTTGAGTACCTTTTCCAGACTATGGTATTAGCATAGGTACTACTCATGACTGAGACTTCTGAAGGGCTCTATAACTGGCAAATGGATAAGAAAAATGGAAGTTCATAATTTAGCTGTGTAATAAAGAGGTGACTGACTGTATTGTATACCCAAATGTTAATGAGCTGTAAGTAATATTTGGATGGAAAGATGTGAAGGGACAGGAGCAGGGAGCTTCATAAGCAAAATCTGCAAGGCATAAGGGAGGTGAACTTTGAGGAGACATGAGTACAGTCGACCCTCGTTAATTCGGACCCCTTTAATCTGGATTTCGGATAATTCGGACGAAATCTGAACTGTCCGTATCAAATTTCTGGTTCTGGGATTGTCCCAGTTGCAATTGGGGTTGCAATTTCAAATTCTGTGTCACTTTTAAGGAATAATGAAGTCTCTGGTGCACTCTAAGATTAAGAGAAAACGGACGACTCAGGCGTCCTGAAGTGAGAGAAAAGGGACTCCTATGACGGGGCACTCAAATAAAGAGACATGGCTACATGTTTTTTGAACTACCCACTGTACAGTATCCTTTTCATCACTTTGTAATAAACCTCGTCATGCCTATGTGTGTTTCTGATAATTACCATAACATTATATATTTATATATTTAGCGGTTGTACAAACACAAGGCCTCACACATGCCACTCAGACTGACAGACTTGACAAGTTTTACCAACCATAAAGACAGTTGAAGCTTTAAACATCACTCACAATGGATATTGAATATTCCAACTGTAATCAGACATACCTAAGTTGCCTCAACAATTGCAACCCCAGTTGCAATATCAAATTCTGTGTCACTTCTAAGGAATAATGAAGTCTCTGGTGCACTCTAAGATTAAGAGAAAACGGACGACTCGGGCGTCTTGAAGTGAGAGAAAACGGACTCCTATGACGGGGCACTCAAATAAACATACACATAGCTGTATAATGCAATATTATGCAATATTATGCAATATTAACCCCTAAATCGGTTAATTCGGACAATCGGCTAAAACGGACACCCTTCCCCCCCTATTAGTCCGAATTAATGAGGGTCGACTGTATATGGAACTTACACAAATTAGAGGTAGCGTGGTTAGAAATAACATGTGTTATGATTGGAATTACAAAGAGGGGGATGATAGATTGGATTTTATTGGCAAACTGATCGTGGAAATTGATGTTCGTAAGAAACTTAGGGAAGGGTCTCAAGGTAGTGAACCTTGTATGAATTATTGACTTACACTGAGAGTGTGGAAGAGTTAATGGTCTTAGGCGAGTGTTTCTTAGAGTGGGTTGTTAGTTCAATGACATCATTGTTAGCAACAACCAGAAAGAGGATCTGGAATGTGTGGGTAACAGCAGTGTCTTGGTAGTTTATTCTATGGAGAGGGTGACTGGCTATTATTTAATATAGTTGGTACATAGTTCTTGAGCCTTATCTTAGAGTATCTTACAGTTAGACTGGCAGCAGTTAATTCTACAAATAATAGTAGAAAAATATTTCCTCTCCTGTAGAGTTTTTTCTTCTTTAAGTTCAAAAGTGAAAAGCACTATTTTCAGTTGATATCTGCAGTTTTACAGTTCTGAGATATTGAAGTGTACAGTTAAAGCTACTTTTAGTGGTGAATGTAGTACGTAATCTGAACAGAGGCTTCGCAGCCAGTTACAGAGGGCTTACTGTTAATTTAGTACAGTTTAGGCCTCGCACTCCAAATTCTGGAGAAAAAAAACTTTATTCTGTATTCCCAGGTCCCAAGCATACTGGATAAATGGTCCCGTACCTGTATAATATGAGCTCACAACTTGACATTAATGTACCTGACAGTTTTATGACTTTTCAGTTTTGTATAGGCAGTACATGAGCAACAGTACAACATGCCTTGACAATTCGCGGACCTCGATTATTCGTGGATGACACTGTGGGTGTACCCAAGAACGTCTAAGGGTAGTTTTAAATTGCTGGCATTTTCGTGGCTGGGACAGGGAGCCATTCGTTCGAGAGACGGGAATTTCTTTTACCTACATTGTATACTAGTGTATGTGTTTGTAGACACACACACACACAAAACACATACAAATAAATAATAATTGGAAAATCCTCTCACATATAATCAGAAACATGACAACAAAATATATTAAAAATGTGATAGTCTACCCTCAAGTCAACTCCATTTAATAACAAAGCACGGAGTGAACTTGAGGGTAGACTCGCATTTTAATTACATTTTGTTGTCTTGTTTCTGATTATTTGTGAGAGGATTTTCCCATTATTATTTATTTGTATGTGTTTTGTGTGTGTATGTCTATACACACACACACACACACATATACAGTATAAACAATACAGGTAAAAGAAATAATTGTCCTAAGGGCAAACACATAAAGGGAATATACATTCTTTGTACACAAGTAAAAATTTAACCCCCCCCCCGATCAGCAAATGTTATTCGCGGATTTCACTATTCGCGGCCATTTTGAGAACCTAACCTCCGCGAATTTTAAGGGCATGCTGTACTGACTTTGTGCGTAGAATATAAGCTTATGGTTATAAGTCTTATACAGAAAATTCTTGAGACCCCTGAGAGGCTGTGTGACACCAGAGATAGAGTGGCATCCTCCTTCAAGACTCACTTCCCTACCAAACAAATTGTTAAGAAAACCAAAAGGGGCAACCAAGATATGTTTGCAAGGTGAGAATAATGAATTAGATACAGAGTACTGTACTGTACCATGACAAACTGGAAATTAAAGCATGTAACTCTTACAAACCTCATCAGAAGTTCCTGTCACTGCTGGAACTTTTCAAAGGTTGTGTTATATTATTCATGTATTCATATACAGTACTTAAAATAAAATTGGACTGGTGATTGAGTGAATCACAGTGTATTTGAAATGATTCCATGTCACAGACTTATTATTTTGTCAACAGTAAAGATGATTTTGAGAGCAACAAGAAAGCCAAGCTGGATGGAGATGACAATATGAGTGTAGGTGATTTGACTCTCCCCCTGGTGACTCATGTCACCTCGGCTACACCTGTCCAAGACTTTATGGCACTCCTCGGCGGTGAAGCTCCGAACTTTAACCTAAGTATGTCTCGCATTGTAATTCTAAAGTGGTTTATTATTTACCTGAACTTGGAAATTACATGGGCCTGGAGCTGTTAGATCAGGTTATGAAAGTTGTGAAAAGTGTAATCAAGAAATTGATGAGTGAGAGATTGTACATTAATGATATACAGTTTGTGTTCATTGTCATGTCAAAAATTTTTCTTTGTATTGTACCAAACTTTGTAGAGAAGAGTAGATGTGTTTTGTAAAGGTAATTATATACTTACATGATTCACTTTTATGGAAAACTTATGAAAAAAGTGTTGTTTATACAGTATATGAACTTCTGTAAGTCGTTATATTCTTTCAGTTTGTAAGGAACTTGGAGATGTTATAATACAGTTGATGGATGGTCTTGGTAATGGTGGTGTTGGTGGTAGTGCTGCAGTGATGACTAAAGTGATGGATTGCCTCACTGCCTTCCGCCGAGAGTCGATTATCATCGATCCATCAACCTACAACAAATTTGCCCCTACTTTCAAAGATACTGTGACTTACCTGTCTCAACATAATCTTTGGGACCGTGTCAAAGAAAGTAAGCTTTATTCACCTTTGTTCAGTTAGCAGATAATTTCTTTATTGGTGTTCCTCAGTTAATATGATAGATATGTTCCTTAAAGATAATTGTGGAAAAACATGTAAAGTGTGAGAGTTAAGTGATTGAAAAAGATTATGCATAACTATATTAATGTATTATTTGCTTTGTACAGTACTATATACAGTACTGTAGATACATTAAGTAAATAAGTTAGAAATTATTAATGCAAATTCAAAGTTAAAAAATTCAAAATTCAGAAGTCCTAAAGGCCCCAAATAACTGTATGGTTTCAGACTTACAGTGTTTGCCAAGATATGAGGGTGTGCGGTGGTGGTTATTTTTATATAGGTGTACAGTGTTTTACATATTTATCCTTATAACGATGGCTTTTTTTATTGTCTATGGTTGGTGTCTCGATATAGAGAGTGGCTGTATACCTTTGATGAGAAATGTCATAGAGCATCTATTTTTTATGTAACCTTTATTTTATAGCTCAGGATAGCCATGGTAATTCCATCTGATTAGCTCTTATAGTATGTGTTTATAAAAAAATTAATACACGTATTTTAGAATTCCTTCAAACCCACATGTAAAATAGCGATGCAGTTATATAAATTATATTGAACATATATGGTGCAGTTCCCTAATATTTTTTTTAATTATCTAAGATGAATCAAGACTCATTTGTCCACTATTCAGGTAACCTCGGTATGATCAGTAGTGAAGAAAATCCAAGAAGCAACATAACAACAGATGCAGCAGAGGCATTTCTTCAGATGGACGAACCACAGCAGCCAGTTGATCAACCTCAAGCTGTTAATGATGACGACGTTGAAGACTTGGTTTGTACATTTTAGTATTTAAGTGTAGGTACTTTATGTGGGGGAGGGCAGAAAAATAGTAATAGTTAATGGTTTCTTGAAAATAAAGCAGTCAATGGTTAAAAGAAATGATATTAGACTTAAGAACCTGAGGAGAGAGGTTGCAAGAGACTGCACAGCATGGAGAGCTGACATCAGACAATTGTGGCTAACATAGGTAAGTGTGGAAAAGGCTCTGTAAAATGTTGGTGATAATAAATGATGATGGTGAATCTCATTACCAGAGGGAAAGATAGTAATGGGGCGATGGATGTGCTGCTGGTGGGTGATAATAGTCTTCGTGAGGTGAGGGGAGTAACTAGATAGAAAACATCTGGAGATCTTTTACTGGAAGGACAACACTAAATGATGCACATGTATGATTAGTTAGAGTGAATGAAAGTACTTAAGACTTTCATATGCTGTTAATTCTAACCTACTGCAAGAGTGACAAAAGGTGAGGAAAGATAAGTACTGTACTAGGTTGTTGTTGTACTCAGGTGAACTCTCATGCTACTGATTTTCTTAGTGGAATTATTGTTGAATTTCTTAAATTTTTTTTGTGGTATTAGGTGTAAATGAATTTTCAAAACCTGTTTCATAAAATTTTCAGTATAAAAAAGCATTTAAGTTATGGTGAATTTTTTCAAAGCATCAGTGCGTTAATTACAAATATTGTATGAGATATGTTGTTGACATTGGTTGTCATGCACTCAGAATTTATCATCATTCTAAGTTAATTTTAGAGTGCAAATTTCCTTACTCTTTGGAAGATTGATACTGTACTGTACCTGCATGACTACTTCTATTTCTGCTATAGGTTTACTACTAATAATACTACAACTACTGCCATTACTACTACAGTACAACTACAGTACTACTCCACTGCTACAGTATTACCATTCCTACTACTACTATTCTATCACTACTGTTCTACTACTATTAAGTGTAATACTGTAATGAAAATATGAAATTAATTTTAATTTGTATTTTATTTATTTTATTTATTTTTTTCAGCTGGATGATTTGTAGTGGGTGACAGTGGTACAAAAAGGTCGGAGTTCCTCATTGTTGTAAATGATTCAAGATACTTTCCTCCATTTTATTGCCTTCACATACTTCATTCACCAAGACTTGAATGCTTCCCAATACAAAGAGAAAGTAATGGAAAATTTAACATTCCTCTGTCTCCTGAGGCTATAGTACAGGTACTGTACACTCCCTCTATATGATCAAATAAAATTTATATGAATATTTTTGTGTGTGTTGTGCTGACATTCCTGCAATATTAAATAGCTTAATGAATACTGTACTAACATATTTTATTTATTTTTTTTTAAAATAAAAGCTACCAGTAGGAGATATCAGAAAATTATAATGCCTTATATTTATTGAAAGATAACTTTGATAATTTATATGATTCTACCATGGCCCTGTTATTACCCTTCAGATTTATTACTATACAGTATACAGAACCCCCTCATCCAATGTGAGATGCACATTCCTGGAAATGCCTTATTTAGCAGATTTGTGTTCAGTAGAGTTTAAACATTAAAGAAATAATTGGGATGAGGAAGGCAACTTGAGAACTATGTATCAGAAAATTTATTAACCATTTTTTGTCAATGTGAACCTAAAAAAGTATGCGTATAAACTTAAATTTTATGCACATTATCAGATTTGTATTGTGCAGACTTACATTGGTTGAGGGACTACTGTATAATTTTGTGTTTTAACCTAATCTTAGATACATGAAGGTAAGTACAGGGTATGGGCCTGGTTGTAACTGACCAAACTTACAAAAACTTTGTGCCTTACATTGTAGCTTCCCTCAAAATTAGGATTATTGTCAGTTACCTTGTCCAGCACTGTCATTTGGCCAATATTTTTCTTGCAAAAATTTATTCAGGTTCATCCACTTTTGTGACTTCTTCAGAAGGTTCAGGATTTTATGAAAGTTCCATTAGCTCTTCATCTGTTAGTTCTGTCCCCTGGAAATCGAGAAGCTCTTAAGCATTTTCTGCTTCAACATCTGTCATTCCATCTTCGTTGGTCAGGTCATTGGTAAGCTGAGCAGTTTCATCCTGCAAAATCATAAACAACTTCTGGCCAAACCTGACACTTGTTATTCAAACAACTGACTCACTTTTTCCCAGGCCTCTCTTATATTGTCTCTGGTCAAGAAATTTTGTAAGACTTCCAAGACAAACTTATATGGAGAAAGTCATGTGAGACTTCTAGGAGCGTGGAGTGGTAGAAGAAACACTCGAGATGTTGATGGGAATTGGTGCCTCTTTCATGTGATCGAGAGTTATGGTAGAGGCAGAGCAAGGGTCTGCACAGCAGAGAGATTGAGCAGAAAAGAGTAAGCAAGCTTGGCTGGCCTTTGGCAAAAAGCCCATGCTGCCACCAAGTGAGAAGTGGGTGAAAACTTTTGCTTGATGTCAGCTGATAAATGCAGTGGTGCATTTTAATTATTTAAGATTTCTGGGCTTGAACTGCATGTTTCAAAGACCTTTTGAGAAGTATCTTCGTATTTACTTTTATTCTAGTTCATTTTTTTCATGGAGCCCGAGTCCTTTACACCTCTACATCCCACACCAGTAAGCATTCCCGAATTTACAAAAGGATTCTGTTCCTGAAAAAAACATTTTGTATATTGTACCTGTCTTTAGTTTTTGTAAATTAGATAGCATTTTCCCATAGACTCTCATTATAAAAGCTAAAATATATTCTTATGGAGAAAAAAAAACTGTCTTAAAGTGCAACAGAATATTTTTTAATAGCAATAATAAACATAGTAAGAGAAATAAATGCAGTACTTACTGTGTAATGGCCCCTGTTTCATAAACAGAAGAATTATATAAATGGGTTAATTACATTTGATTTATATACTGATTCATCCCCTGTAACTACACTAGCTATGAGGTGACATGTTCAGTGCACGTGATAAGGTGTGTCCATGGGAAGCTGCGTCATATTATGCTGAGTTAGGGCATTAAGTAGCCGGCTCCCTGGCCACCTAAAGCGGGCAGTAGTTTGATATCCTTGACTAGAGGAAGACGTTATTTGAGAGCCATCGTGGATGGTTCCGTCTTCCCTCGAGGGAGGACGACGTTGCCTATTCCGTTCTCCCTCGATGGGTCACTCCTCATAGAAGTCCCACTCATAATCTCACATCGAAAGGACGTGATTAAATGGTCTATTTACATAGCCGCCGTCCTTTCTCTTCACACCCATAAATAGTGAAAGTTACGGTTGATATACACTCAGGAATTGTATAAACGATAGTTCTTCAATAAAGGAAGAAACAGACAATTGGGTTTCGCTACTCTAACCCAATATAATATAAATGTACCAGCCTAGTTAACTTCAACAGAACCTATAGTTAACAGGCTATAACAATTGTATTGCATTTATTTATCTTATTAATAATTTTATACCTGTACTTATGAGAAACCGGACAAGATTTGAAACATAGTGAATTCTGGAGAGTGAAATGCAAAGCTAACATGTACGATAAATATATTACTGTAGTAATACATTAATTCCCTTTCTACAACAGTAACTCGTGTATCTTTCACCAATATGTCAAGGGTTTGAGTCTTGTCCGGCCTGGACACACACGAGAAGGGTGTTTATTCAGCTTGACCCAACCAAGACTGCTGATGAGTTATTGCATCATCCTAAATTCTCGCTACCTTATTTACATGGCGTAAATGCTGTTAATCAGTCAGTTGATGCTATATTCTCTCATGTGAGCCAGCAATATCCACACCTAACTTTTGTTCGCTTCTAAATTCCACACTTTCTCTTATATCTACAATTTTATTGTATATCTGTATACTGTGCTGATAGCATATGAAATGTAAAAATACAGAATAATTTTTTTTTTACAATATTTAATTGGCTTATTTTTATCATCACAGTACTGTACTTAGGAAAAACTAAAAAAATTATGAATTTTTTTTTAATAACTGGATATTTTGTTAATGTAAATCATGGGATTTTTTTTTTTTTTTTTTTTTTGTAACTTTATTTTTTTGTAAACTGTTTGTTCATAAATCAGGGACTGCCTGTAACACTTTTCAACTTTAGTATCTTGAGAGAGCAATGTCTTTCTCTTTTAATGTTTATGAAAGCTTTCACTGTATTCTTAGGTACATTTGAATTTTCAATCTCACTTCAAAGTAATATTATAGTAATTAAGCATAAAATGATAAATTTACACACAAAAAATACACAATTTTGTGAAAAATTAGATTATTATTTATTTCCTTTTCTTTTCTTTTACAAAAATATTAATTTCAGTCAAGATCTTGGTAGCTATGTTGAGCACATTCAAGATCCACAGTGTCCCTCATTGATGAAGTGCCATCATCGTCATCATCCTCTTGAGGCTGAAAGGTACCTAAGCGACCCTCACAGATTCCTACAGGTGCTGATGGTGCTCTAAAAGGAAAAAGATAAGATATTAAAAAATATAAATGGACTTAAATATACTGCAATGGACATAAAAACAAGCAAGTACTTATACCTGTACGGTACTGTATACAATACAGTATAGGGTTATTATGTATGAAGTAAGGTGTGCATGTGTGGAATGACGGAGAAAGAGGAAACAAAATAATAATACTGTATCTCTTGAGAAACAATTATATGTAAAACCTATTATTGTATAATGATCTAACACATTTGAAACCCAAGAAAGGGGTTTGCTTTGTGACATAACCAATAATATCTTTATGGATGGCAAGCATCATTTTTATTTTAAAATGGATTCGGTAACCTAACCTAACCACTTTTGAAATATGAAGAAACAATTTAGCATACACAGTAAATCCCTGCTGAAGAGGCAAATATAGAGGAAAAAAAAAAGGGTCATGTTTTTCCATAATTATGGCATAAATAAATGCACTGGTCACTGACACCTTGGCCAGTAATATTGGCGCTGACACACTAACACAGTCACTTGTCAGGGAAATTGTCTTCTCATTTTTACATTCATCCTTCAGAAACATCTAAATTGCCATTTTTTCACAATATGATGTGTTAACTGTTTTTCATGTACAATCTATTCTGTTAAACAAATGATGCTCTACCTGTACAGTATAGTCTCGGTTTACGTGGTCAATTAAACCCGTGGAGGTCCGCGTAAAATGAGAAACGCGTAAACGAAATAACAGAACATATGGGATTAATTGAAATAGTGACTGGGCCGACCGCCAGACTACCCTTTTTCCGACAATACGTACGTTGTAGTAAAAATAACATCTTAATTTTATGATGGTATGCACACACAATTAATATTTAAGAGAAATATCAATAATATTAGGTTTTTTAACACTTTCGTTAGTAGAAGAGATGGCTGGGCACACGGGGATGGGGGGTTGGTTCCGAGGCAGAGGGCAGATTATTGGCCCTCACCTGCATCACCTATATCACTATCCACCACAGAGGCTTGCAGGGCCTCTTTGTCAAACCCCTCAAAGTCCATATCCTCACTATCACTGACTTGGGCTGGCTGTGGTGGGTGGTGGGTGAAGAACTCGGTAATGTTTTGTTGACTGGGTGACCTAGCGCGCACCCTGCCTGCGTAAATGATGGAATGTACCACATAACTAATAATTGCCGGTCTGGCCAGGTGCAGCGTAAATGACCAACCGCGTAAAGGAAATCCGCATAAATCAAGACTATACTGTATTTGCTTTTTCTAAGAGATAAATAAAGTTACTATGTATTTGTCTTATAAGTTCCCCTGATAAAGAACCATCTCTGGCTCTCTAAATTTAAGAATGACAACAGGTAGAAATAATTAATTTTACTCCTTACATGTTAGAAGATCTTGAAAATCTCTTGCTTGGTATTGCAGAGAGAACCTTATCTAATCTTTTGACGAGAAGGAGGGCATTCTCTTGTGTAAAGCACATGGGTGGCATCAGCAAGAGGATGTTTCGACTATTTCCTTCATTAGCCATTATGACATACTCCTTTTTCATTCTGTAACCAAAAAAGAATGACAATATTGTAATTGTAAATTAGGCAGAGGTGTGGAGTAGTGCAGTAACTGTATTTAAGTAACTTTTTTACAGATAAACTTTCTAGAAAGTACATTTATTTTGAAGTACACCATACTATTGTTCCAACTTAAGTACAGTTTAAGAAAGAAAAAAAGGCACTCTGACTTAAGCACAATGTTGTCAAAATCTGTGAAGTATTTAGAACTACTTTATAAAGAAAAATATGACAAGAATACAGCACATGTAAACATAGGATTTAATTCTGTTGAGTATATCAGTGAAAGAACATGGTGCGAGTTGTTACCGAGAGTTGTAGCAAAAAAGAGTGTGTTAGAGATAGAGCAATGTTTGTAAGTTCAGGAAAGGCAGAGAATGTGTGGATCAAGAGTTTGTGTAAAAGTATATAAGAGAAATATACATACATGAAATTAGGAAAAGCACATGATCGAGTAGATACATTTTCATGTAGCAACATAAAGAATCTCGGGGCATGGTAGACAAATCCAGGATAATGGAGCTTACTGGTAAATTTAGCTTGTATATAATGGGTCGCTATCATTCATCATAAATGGCCCACAGAAAAGCATAAATTTGAATATTATGCTTATACAGGTATACAGTACAGGAGTTCAACCCCCTACTTTTTGCAAAAAAAAAAAAAAAAATGTCCTAAAAACTCGAACTCTGCTTCAGCATACAGGTATATGGTAAATAAGTCATCGTAACATTATGTATTAATGTTGTTACAGAATTTTAAGGTACATAATTGGCACAAATATGTAAAGGAAGTATAAAAAAACAACATATGACAAGAAAATCTTTTGCTGGACCAGGAAGGTCCAACCTAAAGAAGAAAAGTAAGATCAAAATATACAAATTAGTACAGGGGGTTCCCGGGTTACGAAAGGGTTCCGTTCCCGAGGACATCCGTAAGTCTGAACACACGCTATATGCCTACCATACTTACAGAACAATGTTTAAAACCCACTATATCATAGCCTAAGTCCTTATATACATCTAAAATCAATTGAAGACAAAAGAAGAAATAGAATGACAAAATACAGTAAAAAAATAAAATAAATAAAAATAAATCAAGAAATAAAATACGTACTGTAAATTTCAAGTTTAACCCTGTTTGTATCGATGGGCTTTCGTAAGTCGGGACCTCCTGTACCCTAGTAGGCCCACACAAAGGGAAACGCCTGTTCCAGCCCGCTGATTGCTTGAACATAATATGTACAGTATTTGAACCTTAATATGAAGATAAAATTGCTAAAACTAATTTTCCCATGGAATGGAACTCTGCTGATAAACATGAAAAATGTATATTGTGGTACAGGGTACAGTACTTGTGATTAAATATAATGAAGTATCGAGCAACAATATATATCTGGAAGTATCTGGCATCTGCAAATTTTGCTGAAATCTCAATAGATGGTGCCACTGTTCTATAGCATATTTTATGCTGTGCTTAGGGTAGTCACTTTCATGTACAGTACAGTACAGTCTTTGGGGTTCTGTGGGGAGGCAGTTGGGAGAGAGGTCAGTTCCCACATGTTTATTGTTGTGATCACTGCTCTACTGTCCATTCTGGATTTAGTGCTTCCCTGGTGTATTACTATTGCCTCTACAGCAAATAAAGGCAAAACAACACTGAGGAGCACTAGGAGAAAAAGAATGGTGCTTAGAACTGTACCAATTGAAAAGAAACTGAAGATATGAAACAGAATCAATGCTAGTCTTCATGAATGGTATCTGTGAGGAGTTTGGGCTGAAGTTGAGTACTTTTTATGACAGCCAGATTTAAGTGCATAGTGTACTAGATAATAGTGAAACTGAATATGAAGTGTAAATATAAGTGTGAATATATGTAAGTGTAAGCACCTCCAGTGTCTTCCATTACAAGATTCATCTGGTACAATAAAAGTAAGTACAGTGTATATGTATACTATTAACTTGAATATTGTTTTGGGAAAGCAATTTTCAACAAAATGATGATTGAAAGCAACTACGAGGAGGTTAAGGCAAAAGTCGGTATTCTAGGAAAGTTGGACAGCCTCGAGCCACATAAAGTCTGACTTACGGAGGTCTTACTTACATATACGGTGTATATACTACAGTATATATACTCCAGTATAATTCAAGTTTTTATGATCCAATTTTTATGCAAAAAGTAGAGGGTTGGATTATAAACATGTAATATTTTTGAGGGACTCAAATTTATTCATGTCCATGGGTCATTTATGGTGAACAATAGCTACCCAGTAAATGTTTGTGGTAGGCCGTACTCCTAATTTTTTTTTTTAATGTTATTACATGAAGAGCAGGCCCTCAGTCACTATAATATATATGTTGCATTAATCTACAAATACCTGATGCAAATGAAGATTTATAAATAATTTTCTTTTCATTTGTTTCTGTTAACATCGCTGGTGGCATTGTTGTCAAGTTAAACTTGTTACTATAACCACATTCCCTGAGCCCTCTCGCTACCAGGTCGAGCTGTGAGCTATGTTATGGTTATTTTTCAATTTGTAATTTCAGGTAGAAATACAGTACTGTACATAACTTTCTCCATTTATTTTATTTTTTTACTCAATTACATGCACACACAATCCTACATACATATTCTGCATAAAAAGTAAATAAAATAATTATCATAGGTTAAAAACATAAAGGGAATAAACATTGTTTTGTGTGAGTTGGCATGCTGTGCAGGGAAGGAGGAAGCAGACCGTGGAAGCACCATTGCTAGTGGGTAGGCAAAGGCAGTGTTTCAGCTGGGCTGCATTGTTATGGCAAGAGTTGAGGCCATGCAGCCAGTATTTTTGCAAATGGCAGTTGTGTTAAACTTTCATTTAGCTTTTCCTTAAAGGTACATAATGTAAATGTTGCTTGAAGTAGCACAATTGGGTAAATTTATAGAAAAGCACTGTTCTTTCTTTGGATATTAAAAATACCCGGTATGTTTTTCCTATGGTTTTTGATGAGCTTCGAATGAATTTGGAATTGCCCCCTGAGTTCATGCCTCCACATCCAACCTTAATCTGAAGAAGAATTAGGTTCATCTGGGACGTCATTGTTTGAATCGATTTGAACGTTGTTCTGTAATGCACCGTGTTTTCTAAAAAATGAAATGGCCTCACTGTTTTTCTGATGAAACTCGGCAATTGATGTAAAATAATCTCTATCACAATGTCGGCACAGCTCTTCAACCTGTTCAGCCATATCTGGTACTGAAAATTCAAATCTCTGCACCCATGCATTGTTCATTGGCTTAGACAAAAAACTCTTGCCCAATAATAAGTCTCCTCTCGCTATAGCCAATAAGGAACTCCCACACCACCCCAGCACATGTGCTGTAGACACTTAAGAAGCAAACACGGAGGTAACGGAGCACTGGCTTGGGGGGGGGGGGGATGTCAGAGCTTCTTTTTAATTTCCGGCAGAAATATAATCGAAGAAAAAGTCTTAGAAATGTCCAAACATTGTGAAATGCATATTAATAACAGTGAGAGAAAGACCAGTGCTTTACTATAAATTCACCCACAATTGTTAAACAACATAAGAAAGATAGGTGGTATGGTTTATGAAAGCTGGGAAAGGAGGTACTGGGAGTTGTGACTTTGCATCAGCCTTTTGGCTTCCCATGTAGGCCATTACTTGTACTTTACATCTGTCATAATATTCCTTTCGTGTTTTAGATTTTTGCTGTTTTCAGTATTTTATATTAGTTTTGCATTTGTAATAGTAACACAAAAATCATCACTATAGCCACAACCCCCTAGCCTTCGCCCTAACAATCCAGGTTAAGTTGTGAGCTATATTACAATAATTATTTTTCAACTCGTAATTTTGGATAGAAATACAGTGCATACTTTTTTTTTTACTCAACTTCATGCATACAATCTCACATATATATAATGTGCAAAAAAAAATTACCATAAGGTCAAAAACAAAGAGATTAAATATTTCTTCAGGAGTTTCAGAGTTGGTAGCACTGTTTATAGCATTAGCTGTTGTGGTGGTGGTAATGGCCAAGATGTGTTGGTGTGAATCTGGGTTCTGCTACAAAATATTTCTAGGATTACACTTGGTAGTACAGCATTTATCAAAAGCTAGGGTCGAATTATGCAAGAGGGTACAGTCTTGGTCAAGATTTTTCGAACTCTGCTGGAGACAGCTGGCAACTCAAGGCCATTTGTTTACGATAGTACGAAGTAAAAATTATGAATAAATGTAAAAGTGATTGGCGATTGATTACTTAGTTCCCCGTTGCTTAATTTAATGGTAGGGCTTTGTTGTTTCATGTTATTTTATACTACATACTATAGTAAAGAACCAGCCTTGAGTTGCCAGCTGTCTCCAGCAGTGTTCGAAGAATCTTGAACGAGACTGTTCAAGAATAATATATGAAAAATTCAGGTTGTTTTACCCAAAAATTAGGGGTCTGGAGATGTAAATTTCACAAAAGTGCTTGGGAACTTTGCGCTTTTTTTTCCTCTGTGGTTATATACACATATATACACACACACACACACACATATATATATATATATATATATATATATATATATATATATATATATATATATATATATATATATATATATATATATATATATATATATATATATATATATATAGTGGTGTTTATATATATATATATATATATTTCATGTAGATCCACAATGTTCATCTTCAGAGGCAACTCAGTTGCCTCTGAAGATGTCTTGAATAAAGACGAAAGCTAAGGTGCTCCGTTGTTTCCCTTTTCCCGTGTGATTTTATCAAGATATATATATAACAGAGGTTTCATTGGCAACATTTTTATTACTTAACTGAACAAAATAAACATATTAATACTTACTCAAATACAATGTGATCGGCTATCTCTTTGGAAGGTTTCTTGCTTTGCTTACTCCAGACTATTTCTATTCCAAACATGAGACCTTTCCCTCTTACTTGGCCTGGAAAGGTGGACAATGTGTTTTAATTTGTAGGTACAGTAAAAGTCCAAAAATCCGGACTTTTCGAAAACTCAAACTTTTTTTTTAGCTGGCTTTTGTGTGTATGTGTGCATGCGTGAGCGCCACAGCTGCACAGTGACAACAAGCGACCACGCAGTCGCCACTTTAAAAGGAGCAATCAAACTGTGACAACATATGTAATTTTGAGTCCTACTCTTTCCATTTACAGAGCCCATAATAATGGCTCCTAAAGTAGATAAACTTCGTTGTGTGAAGAGAAAGAAGAACACGTTGAAATTGAGTGACCAACTTTAAATAATTAAAATAGAACGTTGTGTGAGCAATACTGTTCTAATGGAAACATACAACATTGGAAAGTCTACAATTTATGATATAAATTTGAATTTTAAAAGTACTGCCTGAGAATCCGGAAAATCCGAAAATCCGGACCGACCCAATCCCCAAGCAGTCCGGATTTTTGGACTTCTACGGTAATTTAAATTATGGAAATATATACAGTATATAGCAAGACTACCGTAAGAAGTATGCCTGTACAAAGAAATATATAGCCTATAATATTCTAATAAATAACACCTTTCAAGAGCAATGTTTTCTCTAACCTGCGAGGCCATGCAATAGTTCATCAAGTGGGGTGCACTTAATTCTTCCAGTTGCACATACTGTACACAACTTTAGCAGCACACCTTTGTTATTTGTCCCATGTTTTTATATTCTTTCTACTTCTTACATAGCTATGGTAATTTTAAAACAAATATATTATATAAAGCTCTTTTGTTTCTACCTTTTTACTTTTACAGCCCCCCCCCCTCCCCCCCCAGTTTTGCGGATTTTTATTTCGTGGTCTTCTATAATTCGCGTATGACACCCTGGATGTACCCAAGAATGTCTATGGGTAGTTTTAAAGTTGCCAGCATTTTTGCGGCTGGGACAGGGAACCTTTTGTTCTAGAGACAGTAATTTCCTTTACCTGTATTGTAAATATGTGTGTGTGTGTACTTTTTTGTGAGTTGGAACCAATTACCCGATATCCCATTTAAATAATTGATTCAGTTCACGAAATTTTCGGTTTTCGAACGACTCTGTGGAGCCAATTGTGTTCGTTAATCGAGGGACCACTGTACAGTATGTATGTATGCATGTATATATACAGTGGTCCCTAGGTTAATGAGCACAATTCGTTCCAGAAGGTTGCTCGTTAACAGGAAAATTCGTTAACCGAAACCATTGTTTCAATGGGTTTTTGGGTAATTGGTTCCAGCTCACCGAAAATTACATACAAACTAAAAATAAATGCAGTAAAGTACACTTACTTTGAGGTGTGCATGTAGAAGGCTCCTGGTTGATGATGATGATGATGGGAATTAGAATGAGGGTGGAGGAGAAGGGAGAAGAGAAGGCATTGGGGTGGAAGAGAAGTCACCCCATGCTGCCATTTCACCCATAAAATTTTAGTTCACTTGGTGTAATTAAAGATTATTTTCTTTAAATCAACACTGCACTGCATTATATATTGTCAATATGTAAAATATATTTCAAAATGACCAATAATTTGACTGGAAACACAGAAAAAAGCATTTATGTTCAAGAGTCTCAAACAAGATGTTCCTTCCTCTGAACTGGTAAACAAACTGACGCCAAGCTTGGTGTGTTGAGTGGCTGTTTGGTGCGCAAAAAACTAGCTTCCTGTACTTCAATTATGTTTAATAATTGTTAAAATGACTAAAAAATTTAATATAAAACTTTTAAAATTATTGAATAGTACAACCTTCTTGATATTTACTAAAATGGTAAGGAATTTAAGCCCTAAAACCGATTACTGTATTGGCGGACTAATACTACAGCTAGAGGGCAGGCGAAAACATGTTGGGAAAATTCGTAAGGAATTCGTTAACCGAGGGTTTGCTCGACCTACGACCACCCGGACATACGACCACCTCAGTCGTACAAAAATTTGTCAAATTACGTATTTTCGAGTCCCAACGTTAGTGATTGCTCTGTGTACTGACAAAATTTTCATTTGTGACATATACATACATATACACTCAAACTCATAAATCACTACTGTAATGTAATACAGGTGATGTCTATATTCAAATTATTCGCTGTCTTGCAAGGATTCTAGCTATGCAAATTATATTCTCTTAACTTTAGTCTATTATTTTATATGAGAAAAACTTTAAGCCTAAAACCACCAAACCCTGGCTGGGAAGATGAGGGAGGAAAAGGGGGGGTGAGGTGATGTATTGTAACGGCTGGTGTCGAAGGTCTTGTGCGTATTTTTTTATCAATCCTTTAGAGTGACTAAGTTTTTCTCTTATAAAATGCCAATGAACTGACCTAGGAGAATATACTTTACATTGCTGGGATTCTTATAAGATAGTGATTAATTTGAATGTAAACATGCTATAGTTTGAACTAGACAAAAATGTTAGTAATTATTTAGTATATTTGAGTACATGTACAGTACAGCTTTGCCCTTAGGACAGTGTGTGCCTGTAAATGAGTAAAAATAAATGAAGAAAGTTATGTACATAAAGCCAAAAATATTAGTTGAAAAACTTTATGTAGACAGACACGTGTTGTTGTTTTGAGATTATTCATCCCTTTCCAAAGTCACCGTGGGGGGATTGTCAAGCTCAGATAACAATGCAGGGAGGATGTGGGCAGCTCAAGGTCACCACAAGAAGTTGAGGGCGTTGGCTGATATGCTGACGATGTTCATGCTGAGCTTTTCTTAAAGAACATGGTGATGGGAAGCTGCCATTGTTGTTTCTTTAGCTGCTGGAACATTTTCTTATACTGAGCCATGACGCTTGTAAGACCTCGTGAGAAGTTATGCTGTGCTCCATAGAGGAGTCATACTCAGACACTAAGTTTTTCAAGTGCTTGGCCACCTGAAACACTTCACTTAACATGTGTATATCCCAACATGCTGGTTCTTCTTGTTCTTCATCATCGCCACCGCCGTCTTCTTTGTCCGCTCTCACTATTTCCTCCAACTCAGCCTCAGTCAGAGTTTTCCTGTGCCCTTCAATTAGCTCCTCGATTTCCTGCTCGACCATGTCTTCAAACCCATCGCCGCCTACAGCCCTGGCCACTGTCATGACGTGCTTAACTTTAGAGTCGATCGTAGGGAATTCTTTGAAGGCATGCACACAGTCACTCCACAGTGCCCGCCAACACGAATTAACTGACTCTGGTTTCAGTTCACCCATGGCCTCCTGCACAAAACTGATGCAATTGGCAATTTTGAATTCCTTCCAGCATGCCATAACACTGTTGTTAGTGCCTTCCTCCATGGAGGCGGTGTTGGGTGGAAGGAACACTACCTCGACGTCATCGTGTGTGAATTTTATGGCATCCGAGTGGCCTGGTGCATTGTCAACGACCAGCAACAGCTTGAAAGGCAGGCCCAGCTTCTCCAGGTAGTTCTTTACCTTGGGGATAAAACATTTGTGGAACCACTCAAGGAAAAGCATTGCTGTCACCCAGGCTTTCTTGTTTGACTGCCAGTAGACGAGGAGGAGATTTTTATTTTTTCCCTTCAGAGCACGAGGGTTGGCAAACCTATAAATCATGCCTGGTTTAATCATATGCCCTGCTGACACACACAAGAGGCAGGTGTTACTCCGACAATACCCATACGGCAACTGGAGACAGAGAGGTGGGATGGGGTTTGGTGGGCTAGTGTTTGGTGCGTTTATGACCCAATTTGGAAAACTTTGAGTTCGAAATTGGAAGTTGTAACCTGGGGTAATCCGCATATAGTTGAAACCACATAAGAAAAATATGCGTAAGTTGCGAGTCTACTGTATACATATATGTATACTGTATAAATATTACTTACCAATGTACTCATGCTTCTGCTGAAGTTTGAGTAATTCATCTTTAAGGACTGATCCTACCACAGAAGCAGAGCCCATGAGATGTTCTTGCTGTAAGACCTCAAGTACAGCACATCCCACTGCATTCATCATTTTTGTGCACTGGTACTGAAATACAATGTTACTGAGTTTATCATGCAAATTAATATTTATGGTGTAGCTCCATTAACCACACAAATTTGCCAAATTATGAAAAATACACTAATGTCACATATGGACATGGCCTAGGCATGACCCGAGATCTCATCAAATTAAGATACTGTATACAGTATTTACAAAGATCACTGTCACAATATAAAAAGAAAACAGAATACCACAGTTTACCTCTTTTATGCGCTCTCCAAGAAGAGCAGCAACTTCTCTGGATGTTACAACAGATGCCATTGGATACCCATTACCTAACAAAAAAAAAAAAGTCATCTAATGTATCTATACATAATAACTGACAAATAGACTTCCTCAATTTTTTTTCAGTGATAAGTGTTTATTTCTGATCTTTTTAATCAAAATGAGTATTAAGCTCATATTACTTCAACATCAAATCTAACAACATTACAGGGTTGGATCAATTGTCTTTTAATATTAATAAATTAATTTAAGAATTTTACTAAGTAAACTCCTTTATTCCTAATTACATTAATTCTTATGGGGAAAAATTCCTCATTATAAAACATTTCATTACAAGACACTATTCTCTGGAACACATCCCCGAGGTATAATGACCCTCTGTGTACAGTAGTATATTTTGTTAATTTACAACATTTATATTGTACATGCACAGTGGCGTTTGCAAAAATAAATACAGCTCTGTGTCTGTCTGTGCGAGATGCATAAATTAGACTTGGAAAACTTTCCCCAGTACATGTACTCAGAAAAATTCTGGGGTTACACAGTAAAGTCGACCCTCGTTAGTTCGGACCCCTTTAATCTGGATATCAGATAAATCGAACGAAATCTGAACTAAGCGAGGGACTGTCCGTGTCAAATTTCTGGTTCTGGGATTGTCCGATAGATGGGTCACGTCGCGGTCTAGTGCGCGTGACTCACGCTCACAAGACTGCCAGTCATTGTTGACCTAGCGCCATATTCGAGTATCAGTGTTGTGTTGCCCTGCAATTTTCGTTGATATTTCAGTGATTAGGCATCTTTCAGCCTTGTATTTTACATCATGTCTTCAAGGGGGAGTAATACGCTGAAGAGGAAGTATGTGACCATTTCTGTGAACCAGAAACTGGAACTTATAAGGAAGTTAGAGGCTGGTGCTTCGGTGGCTAGAGTTTGTGACGAGTATGGTGTTAAAAAGCAAACAGTTTCGGACATACGCAAGGCTAAGGACAAACTCACTGCATTTTCTTTGAAATATAATGTTGATGCAATTTCCAAATCATCATCTGTTGGTGCAAGGAAGGGTATGAGTGGCAAAAGATACAAATCTTGAGGAGGCAGTGACGAAGTGGTTTGTGCAGCAATGATCCTGTGGTAATGTCGTCCGTGGTGTAGAAATTCAAGCTGCTGCTGCTAAGCTAGCAAGTCATATGGGCATCGAGAATTTTGAAGCTAGTGACGGGTGGTTATGACAATTTAGAAATCGCCATGGAATGTGTAATAAAATTACCCATGGTGAAGCTGGTAGCGCACCCACCGAGGACATCGAACCATTCAGGGAGAGGCTAAATGACTTAATTAAGAGTGTAGGGCTCCTGATTTCCCAAGTCTATAATGGGGATGAAACTAGGTTGTATTGGCGGTCCCTACCCCAGAATACCCAAGCTTTCAAGAATGAAGCCTCCTCACCTGGTCATAAAGTAAGTAAGGAACGATTTTCGGCATTGTGTTGCGCGAACACAGACGGTATGCACCGTTTAAAGTTAGTGATGGTGGGGAGGTCAGCTCGCCCACGAATTTTGAAAGACATGATGCACCATCTACCAGTGCACTATTACCACTCCAAAAAATTGTGGTTCAACATGCAAATCTTTAATGATTGTTTTTTCTCGCATTTCATTCCTGCAGTGCGATAATATCAAGAAGATGTCCCCAAACTTCCTGCTGCTGAGGTGAAGGCGCTACTAATTTTGGACAATGCACCTGCTCACCCAGGTGCTGACAAGCTTGTCAGTAATGATGGTAAAATAAGATGCATGTTCTTGCCACCCAATGTTACCTCCCTGATCCAGCCAATGGATCAGGGTATAATTGTAGCCTGCAAGAGAATATACCAACGAAGATATCTGGACGAAGTTCTTGCGGTGACAGAAGAAGAGGAAGATCTTACGGAAGACACACGAGGACAAAGAACTGTTAATAACGTCAAGAACTACAACCTCAAGTCTGCAATATTAAACTTGGCAGCTTCATGGAAGGCACTGAAGACTACCACTCTAGCCAATGCTTGGAAAAAACTTCTGTACAATGTGGAGGTAGAATATGATTTCGAAGGATTCGAGGCAAGGGACTTTCATCGAATCCTTAAGAGGGCGGGCGAAAATGATGTCACAGAAGACGACATCAGAAACTGGCTAGAAGACACAGAGGGTGACCCTGGATACCAAGTCTTAACAGAAGAAGAAATAGCGGATGAAATTCTCGTTGGTGACAGCAGAGATAGTGAAGATGAGGAAGACGACGAACCATTGCCCAAGAAACCCAAACTCTCTGTTATACGAGAATCCACTGATAATGTCACTTCGTACATTGAATTGTCAGCAGAAACTGATGATGTTCAGCATTACTATCAATATTTTAGAGCCTTTAGGGAACTCATTATCCAGAGGCAGCATTATCAAGGTAAACAACTGAAACTAGACTCATTCTTCAAGCCAGTTCGTCCCAACCCTGCTGCAGCTGTTGAGCCTGCTGACGATATTGATGACCCTCCTGCTGCTGACTCAGGCCATCCTCAGTCACCTCAGCCTTCTACGAGTGGGGGACAAGGACCAGTGGAGCATCATAGCTCTACTGACTCCGAATGACAAGTTATCACCTCTACCCCCCACCTCCACCACATCAAGCTCATCTATCATCTACCAAAGGTAAATGAACTTAACAATTTACGGTATTAACTTTTTTATTTTTACATATTGTAATGTTTTATATAGCTAGTTATATGATGTTTACAGTATTTCCTGTATTTTTGATACTGTGTATCATGTTCAGCGTAAAGTGTATATACGGTACAGTACTGTATTTCCTAACCTAAATCGGTTAATTCAGACAATCGGCTAAAACGGACACCCTTCCCCCCCTATTAGTCCGTTTTAACGAGGGTCAACTGTACAATTTTTCCCTCGATGGGAAAATTTGTCGACAAACCCAAGAAATCTCTCGATCCAGAACTGCTCTGCACTAATTAATCCAGTTAAAGAGGATATTGCTGTACAACAGTAAACATATTGAGGTATTATAGCAAAAATTAAACATTTTATGCCAAGAACAGGTAAAATGTTATACTTCAGATAGGGGGTTTAAGAGCCAAATTGGCCCCTTGGAGCAAAGAGATTAAAAATTACAATTAAACATAAGTACAGTACTGGTATGTCAGCATTTGTGCCATGATTATTTACATGCAATGATGGTTTTACAGTCTACTGTATTTCTAAGACACCAAAATAGTTCCAGTAATTGATTAATTAATTAAATATTCGAGTCAATCTAATTTGACTATGTACTATACAGTACTAATAAACCTCAAGACTAGATATGATGCCTATTGTACCAGGAACATTATGATAAAGCTTGTTACTTTTATTTTTATTTAGATCCATGTGTATATCATTTCATGCTGTACTACAGCTCAATTTATGAATACAGTAACACTTACCAACTGACTTTCCAATAATGAGAATGTCTGGGGTGACGCCTTGGGCTTGGAATGACCAAAAGTGTGAACCAACACGTCCAAGGCTCGTTTGTACCTCATCAGCTATGCAAAGACCACCAAATTCCCGCACCATCCTGATGACACAAAAGGGTATAAAAATATTAATGCAATAAATATCTAATGACACTGAGAAACAGGATACCTGTGATAACAAAATGCAAAATAATGCTAAAAATGCATTGCTTCTGGATTAAGCTGCTGTGACAATTGATGAGGTGCATCAAAATACCTATCACTAATGGTACAGTAATCTGTGTTTATATCTTGCACAGAATTGCATTATCTGTAACAGCAGATTTCCTTTACACTGTACTTACACAGTAGTACTAGTATCTACTGGATTTAATTTAGGCACCACTCACAGGAACTTAATAATGATGGCATGTTTTTATGTAAAATCTAGTTGCTCTCAGCTTTAGAGTTGGTGTGGTGAGGTCTACTAAATATTAATGGCTTGATAGCCCCTGTGAAATCCATTATTGGATATACCACAAAAATTTTATCCAAAAATACCTCTATACAAGTGCAAGCTTTGGCCACTTGAATGTAATACTGTATGTTGAATACAGACTCAGAGATGCCAGATAGTCTTCAAAGTAAGCTGAGGGACAGTCATATGTCTATCTGCCTATGGCTTGGAGTAGACCCAGTGGGCTTCTCAGATGGCTGCCAACATTCCTGATAAGAGTTCAAAAAGAAACTTACGGTATATACCTGTACAATGCATGGGCTTGCATTAATCGTCTATCACTACTCTGATTAAATAGAATACCTGTCTATAATAATGTTGAAGATAGTACACAGCCCTGTCCAACTCTTTGTCGAACAACTAACCAACGAACAAGCCTCCTGATTCCAGTAGCTTATTCAAGAATTTATCTTTTTCTTTGTCACTTAACCTAACCTGTGGAGTGATGAATATAACAGTGGTTATCAGATTCTTGTTTACCAGCACCTTCAAAACCAGAAAACTTGCATTTATCCCTTTTACCATTACAGGCTGTAGCACTTTCTCCCACTTTTCAGTAATAACATCTCTATGCCACCTGACTCAGAATCACTACCCATTTGGAAGATTTTGTGTCTGTCATTCTTACCTGTAATCAGCCTTGCTGATCCACCTTTCCATATAATTTATTTTACAAAGCAAACATCCAACTTTCTAGAACTGAATGTTCCCCAGTAATAATACTTTTACTTAACCCTTTCACAGTGGGAGGTTACCCTAAGCTGAATAAAATCGTCTGGCGGTAGCCGGAATAAAATAGCAAGTGCGTGACATGCGGTGAAAGGGTTAATAGAGATAGGTTTTAAGTAGAATTTTCCAGAACTTTATGCACCACCGCCTGACAATGCCCACCAATGATGGGCTAAAAGAAATGGGATCATCAGAATCAATTTAGTGTGATTTGAAAACACAAAATAATCCAGACATATCCAGATCACAAGTTCTTATCTTGAAACAATAGATTGAGTGAACCTTACCTCACACATGAGGGCAAATAATTTCTTGACCTCTGACAAGACTCATTCCCCAAACATGTGATGGAACCCACAAAGAGGAGACAACGAACCCTGATCAGTGGATGTGACAGAACTGACATTGACTACATATCAAAAGATCCACTTCATTTCCACTAAAGATCCACATCATCTCCGCTAAACATGCACTAGAGATCCATTTCATCTCCACTTTACACCCAAATAATCTTCATTACACATCATATCCACTACACATCCACTTCATTTCACATTACACAACCTGGGAGGTCACCCATACTACGTATGTTTAGATTTGGGAACCTCCAAGAGAACCTTGAGCCAACCTCCAAGAGAACTTTGAACCAACCTCCAAGAGAACCTTGAGCCAATCTCCAAGAGAACCTTGAGCCACTCTCCAAGAGAAAATTGAACCAATCTCCAAGAGAACCTTGAACCAATCTCCAACAGAACCTTGAGCCGATCTCCAAGAGAAATTTGAACCAACCTCCATGAGAACCTTGAGCCACTCTCCAAGAGAAAATTGAACCAATCTCCAACAGAACCTTGAGCCGATCTCCAAGAGAACCTTGAGCCAATCTCCAACAGAACCTTGAACCAACCTCCAAGAGAACCTAGAACCAACCTCCAAGAGAACCTAGAACCAACCTCCAAGAGAAGTTTACACTCACCTATACATACCCTGCAGCCAGGTGTTGGGAGGGATGATACAACCAGGTACTGTTAACATTGGCTCCGCAATGAAGCATGCAATCTATGGAAAAATAATATTGATAATTGTCACTTACAATACTACTGATGTTTATAATGCTTAATTTCAAATATCATGACAAAACTAATTATACTTACAATATAAAACACAGGGAGGGAATGTCACCATTATGAAATTTGAATCTTATTTACTACTGAAAGTAAGCCAATCAAGTGTTATTTAAGTCACAGTACACTGGCATTGGAAATTTGATTTTGGTGACTCAAAGCACTGTTTCATGATCAAACCACTGAAAACTGAGTGTGTATGGAGGCACTGTGAGTGATGAGATTTAATTAATGGGACTGCAACCGTGGACCAGCTTGAATGCTGAGAGAAAATTTAAATCATTACATCTACCAGTACACACTGTCCAACCTTACTCACTAAGCACTAATTGTTAACTTAAATTGGGATTGTAGGCCTGTCTCTGTTATGCACTAAAATGTGATGTATCTTGGATGAAGCCTTATAATAGTATAGGTGTATCTCATTCAATTTCATGAAAAAAAATCCACATTCAAAGGAATCCACAAAAGTCTGACCTTTCTTCCATAATGCCGAGCTTTATCAATCATATCTCTGGCATCAGCAATATATTTTTCAACTGCTAAGGGATCATCTTCCTGATATGGCCCTCGGTACAGGTCAGGCATTGCAACCGTGTGCACCCAATCTGGTTGAACTGCCATCAATTATAAAAGAATATTTTTTCTTCATTAAAAAATTAAAAACAATGTTGTTACATGTACCTGTATACTGTATATACTTGATACTTATATTAGACAATATATTAGTCCAAATACAAATATCCTTCAAAAATAAATTCATAACTTTAACAACTGGACTGGATGGCACATGTACAGTATAGTACTATATTACTAGTGTACTGCTTAGACCATAGAATTAAACACAAAAGGTCTAATAAGTATACAATGCCATATCAGCAGTGTGAACTTCACCCTGTCATTTGTCAGTTGCAACCTATGACATTAACTCCAACCTTTGCCCACTTCCCAGTGCCTTCTCACTCTGTCTTGCACCACAGTATAACTAGTAGATAAGTGCAATTCATATATTTTGATACTTGGAATACTGTACAGTATTTCTTTTGGCTTGTGACACACAGCCATATGGTTATATTACTGAACAAAAAGTGATGTAAATCACACCAGGCCTCCTAGAATATTTGTGTTTATTTCAGTGATTAATACATCATATGGTAGGAAGTGGCTACACATTAAACATTTTTTAACAGCTCGAAGTGGCATTTATATGGTGGAGGAATACTATAGTTGAAAAATAACACTAAGAGCTTCTCATGCATTCTCAATGAGAACTATTTGTTGGGACAGATTGATCTAATTGAGGATGGGATTTCCATTTCTTGGAGGGATTTGTAAACAAAGGGATTCAGTCTCAGCCTCTAAGACATTTGAACATAAATCTGAGGGAGCTTCTAGTCTCTTCTTTTTGAGATGTAGCTATGGGAGACAAGCTTTGAGGAAAGAACAAACTTTTCTTTGTGCACAATACTGTACATCTGCAGTAATGTCTACCAAAACAAGGTTTCATTAATATCAATTGCAGACTTCTTGTGCTCATACCAAAGCTCCCTCTGGAGGGGTTTAAGGGGAGTCTCAGGAAAGATACACATTCTCCTTGGTTTAGAAAGCCTGGAAATTTTTTGTTTTCTGTTCTTGCCTCTTAATCAGAAGCTGCAAATAATCAGGAATTGATGAAATTCCTCAGGATCATTCTACTGGTAGCTCCTCTTTAGCAGGATAGATTGACATCTCTCTCACCCATCAGCTTTAAATTCCTATTCAAATTATTTCTTTGGATTTGAGTCACAGAGTAGGAGATGATATTTCTTGCCCATTTCCTAATTTTTCTAAACATTTAGATTTCGTGAGAATATTTTCTTTCAGGTAAATGCTGCAGTATTAAGTATTTTAGTATGTTTTCCTAGAAAGTCTACACACAGATAATATAAACACCCTTGTAAGCATTTCCAAGCTTATACTCTGTATTACATAAATTAAGCCGGATTCTATTTCAGTATTTTTGGTGATGGATTATTTTTATTTCACACTTTCAGAAACACAAGTTGTCCACTTAAATGTTAGTGATTTATAATAGTGCTTTGGCCAGACCATTGATAGAAGCTTCTGTTGCAGTATTGACCTTTGGCTGGGAGTACTTATGGAAATATTTAGACCTATGAGCTGTTCACTACATGAGTCAGTAGTGGAAAAATTCTTCCATCAACCAGTTCATGTCAAGGCTAGAGAAACATTGGATAAAAATAAATGTAATGCAATTAAATACTGTACACAAGTTGTGCAATCCAGTTGTTACAGATATAAATGAAATGTGGGATTGATCCTGAAAATCCATTTTATAACTGAAGATTGGACTCGGTGACTCAGTTACTCTCCCCCCTCCTAAGGGTATGTTCTGAAGGTGGCTGGCAATGAGCTACGGTTGGTTTGATATCATATGTTGTAACTGACAAGTGACAGGTGAGGTCAACACCTGTTGATATGCTGGCATGTAATTTTCTTTGAATGGCAACATGAGCTTCTAGAAGCTTTTTTGTGCACAGTATAGTACAGTATTCTGGTTTTATCTGGAGGAGGTAAATATTATTGGAGTATTATTGGAGTAGTACCAATTCCTAAAGCTGAAGGGTTTCCTGGGATTTAGTTGTTGACTTATTATCATGATGATGAACACATGTCGTCCAGTCCAATTTTCAGTTATAAAATGAGATTTCGAGATAATTCTTCCATTCTAATATTTTCATAAAAACATACTCTACTAATTTCATAAATATAATTTTGTGTTATATGCAGTATAAATAATGCTTGAGGCAGTTTTCTAAGGTAGTGGCTCCCAACCAGTGGTAAGTGAGAACTGTCCAGATATTACCGGTACATGATGTTAGTCTGAAATTTTTTGGTTCTATGGTGTTAAAAGTTTTGTTCTACTATAATAAACTAAGACTTAATATGTAAGGTAGTATACAATGGTGGAAAGACAGGTTAGTGATACTGTCTACAGTATGACTAAATAATGTTGGGAACCACTGGTCATACAAGAACAATATTAAACTTACTTATATTATTACATTTGAAAACCTTAGGAGAGAGCTGATGGACAGAATCAATAGACCCATGGAAAGCATTGTCGACTACAATTGCATCAGTGCCGTTGGTATATAGTCGTGACAACTGCAAAGCAAGATCCACTGCCTCCGATCTATAAATGAATAAATATCACAAAAGATTGCAAACTTCTATCAGACTATCATGTGAATACAGATGTAAACATTCAATGACTAAAAAAAATCATCATTCTTAAAGGTACAGTATCTACTTAGGCACAGAGTTATAACATTTCTAGAACTTATGATTTTTAGAACTTCTAATTGTTAGTTTTTGGAGGTTAATTCTTATTTTTTGTTGTTGTTGAATACCAGATGGCAAGGGGTACTTATACTAACAATGTCTTCAATATTGGCATGCACATTTACATCTTTTCTGGGGTTATCACTACTCTTTACATATGAAAAATTCTCAGTGAAAAAAAAATAGGAAACCTGTATGTATATGAGAAGAGAAGAAAAAGGGGTGTGGATTAAGCATGTGCTTTATACACATTGAACAAGGAATTGCTTGAGAATGGGCTGTCTTGTCTAGTAATGCAACTTGGATTGCGTGAAGCAAGAGGCACAAACCAGATTTGGGGCCATGTTATGGATGGAGAGTACCAAAGCAGTCCCATCTTTCACAGTAATATGAGTTAACGAATGAATATATATATACAGAGTATACAGTACAGTACTGTATATGCTATACTGTATATTATTGATACCTATGCTAAATCATATACATACCCTGAATTACAAAAGAGAAAAGTGTTCAAGCAGGTTGGTAGAAATTGATGAAGCTCTTTTGGATATTGGAGGTCCCCATAATCAATCTCCCATCCACAGCTGGTAACTGCTGACTCCATACTTACTGAGGCAGCCTTAACCACTGCTGGGTGGCAGTGACCAACTGTGAAGAAAAATAAACTATGTATACAGTACAGTATACAGTACATTGAGTCTTTAATCCATAATGAATTTTTCATATTAAAATATAAATTAAGCCAAACAATTAAAAGAGGTAGATAAGATTTATTCTTTCAGTGCTTCATCAGCAGTAGGGAGGGGGAGGCCTACTGCACCCCTAAAGTATACACAATACACTATGTCTACACTACGCACAATACATTTCCATATACTGCACAGTACTATACTGTATCTTCACTAAGCACAATGATCCCTTAATTTCACAGAAAAATAAATCAATAAGCACAAACTTTATTTTGTGTCTCCCTTGTAACTCTGTGTGCATATATTTCTCTGACCCTGGAACAGTATACGGAAGGTGTGCTGCACATCCCTGACAACAAATAACAATACAATACAGTGTATTCTGTACAGGTATGGGACCATTTATCTGGTATGCTAGAGACCTTGGGGTTATCAGGTAAGGGTTTTTACCGGAATTTTGAGCGTCAAATTCCACAAATGTAACACAGACTCACCGTGCGCCACAGAATTGACACAGTCCAGGTACTCAAGGTTAGTGTCATCGTACATATACTGGTAGCTGGCTCGTACGATCTTAAGTGGGCTATAGTTATTCTGCAGGCGGCAAGACTTTCTGTAGGGAATGAAACATGTTACTCCAGTTGAAATGATCTATGGTAGAGAATGAACAGGGAAGTGCAATGAGGGGTGGTGGACCATGATATTTTTTCATGAAAATTTAGTTAAGAAGTCTAAGGAAAATAGCAATTATAAAATGGTTTAAGTGAATTTTAAGGTGAGTAACGGGAAGGGGGGTTGCTGGTATTTAACTCTACAAACTGGGAGGGAATATTTCTGTACACTACTACACACACACTAATGATACTTCACCAAATTCATTTGTGACATGGGAAATTGCAATAAATTTATGGTATGAACAGCATCACAAGTCTCTACGTTTACTGTAGTTAGCAGGGTACACAGTACAGTACAGTACTGTATAGGGAAGTAAGTGCCCAGGTTTACACTATATATATATATACCTGACATTGAATTTTAATGGTTATTCCTCAGACCACTCCTGAAGCTGAGAGAGATCTTTATGTAATTCTTCACAGTCCACTTGGATTTTAATTTCCCTGAATAACTTGGCATCATCTGTAAACATTTGTATGGAGGAGTGTATAGCTTTTGGTAAGTAACTTACAAAACAAACAAACAACAATGGTCCCAGCACACTGCCCTGTGGTACCCCATTTGTCACGCGTACGCATGACAATTTTGTGCCATTATTCATCACACAGTATTTGCAGTCATGAAGAAAGTCTCTGATCCACTCTAGGAGGTTCCCCCAAATTCTGTTACCATTTCAGTTTAATTTTCAGCTTTTTGTGGGGTACGTTGTCGAGAGCCTTGACAAAGTCCAGATATACCCGGTATATTGTTGATATTGCCATTTCCAGGATTTGAGTCCACACATCCAGCACCTTAAGTAATTGCACCCAGGGCCAAATTAAGCCTTGGTAGGGCTGGGGCAAAGAATATTTTTGGGCCGGTCTCAACATGAGTGCCACCCCCAGAGCAAAGATTGTCTGAGGTTGAGTAAAACATCTCTCGTCTCTGTTGGAGTTATATTAATATAATATGTTTTTTATTACTCACACACCTTCAACGGGCATACACCGTCACAGCAGCCTCATAGACCCTCACACTTTTACACCAGTGTCACACCTTCACACCAGCCCTACACCTTCACACCAGCCTTACACCTCCACACCAGCCTTACATCTTCACACCAGCCTTATACTTTTACACCAGCCTCACACCCTATACACTCAAACCAGCCTCACCAGTCTCATACTTTTACACCAGCCTCACACAGTCACACATCTTCACTTCCTAACAAAACCTCAAATTCATAAATGACCTCACACTCTTACAAAAAATTTCACACTCACACATCCTGAAAGAACTTTGCGCCACCATACAACCTCACACCATCATGCCTCATACCCTCACACAACCTTTCGCATAACTTCATCTGGCCTCATATTATCACATTACCTCATACCTCCAAACAAACTCATACTTTCACATGACCTCATATTCTCATAACCTCATACCCCCACATGACTTCATGGCCCTCATACAACCTCACATCACCACATCCTTACTCATGCCTCACAACTTTCCATCTTCAGAGCCTCTCACCCTCACAATCCCTCACAGCCTTTCATCCAAATCACGCCATCAGAACCTCACAGTCATACACAGTGTGTATGACTGTGAGGTGTGTGTGTGTGTGTATTACACACACACACCAGAAAACTCCTTACATAATTTTGATAATCCTCGAAGATACAGGCATTATTTTCATGTGCACTCCTGTATTACTGTATCAATTTTCGTTAACGATTACTGTAACCACTGTACAGTAATCGTTTTAGACATAAGTCACATAACCCTAACACGACAGATAATTAGCTTTGTCAAAACAATCCTAATTAAAGCTATATTATCTATATCAATTAAAATTAAATTCATCAATGATTATTTACAGAGGGCAAATTCAGGTTCTGCCCAGGACGTCATCAAGGCTTGCAACAGCTCTGTATGACACTTTTTCGTAGACAAGTTGTACTTTGACCTCCAGCCAAGACCGCCAATACTTAACCATATATGGATTGTCTCTTTCATACGCTGGGTGACCTTTGCTGATGCATGACCTGGTGGCGATACATATTGAGATAATGTTTAACGATCATGTGACATCTTCACCGAGTCATAAGTTATGGAGCGGACTGAAATATTATTATTGCACTGTACACTGTCGTAAGAAGCTATAGACCCTTACTGATTGTCTACACAGTTCTGTCCATTTATAAAGTAAACACGGTATACAGGGTGTTCCGTAAATACCTTTCATAATTCAGGGGATGTATTCCTGAGACATGAATGACGATAAATGACTAAATGACCAAACTGTCAATTCTAAATAGTTTCGGAATTATGGCACATGAAAGGTTTTATAGGAATGTGATGAATCCTACGGTTACCTGATATAAATCCCCTTGATTTCTACCTGAGGGGTCACATAAAAAGCAAGGTGTATGTTACAGGGGTTCGCAAGCCCTGAGGAATTGTGGCCGTGTACAGGACGGTGTGACAACACCCCTTGCCCTGGGGTCTTTAACGACACTAGTGCGACAGGCCGAGCCCTGCATTGAGCAAGAGGGGCGGAACTTGAACATTTCCTCTAAATGTTAATACCAATACAAATCATATGGCATTATTATTGTTAATAAATGTCACTAGTACAGTGTATTGCATGTTTCATATACACCCCATAGGTTTAATCACATTCCTACCAAGCATGACATGTGCTGTAACTCCAAAGCTATTGAGAATTGACATTTATTCATTTATCTAATTTATGAAAGGTATTTACCGAACACCATGTATATGAATATCTAGATGCTAATGTCATTTGAAAGAGAATAAAGAAAAATGTTCTCTTATAATTACAAAAACAAAAACGACGCAACTTACAACAGATCAGTAAGATTTGGTAACCATGGTTGAGATGGAGGACTGTGGGCCGATGCCCCTCCATCACCAAGACTGACTTCCCCTCCACCAGCACTCATGTTAACATGCTTCAGCTTAGTCCTCACTGGGCTGGTCACATCCGGGAAAGAGGTAGCTATCGCTGCTGACTGTACCTCATCATCGCCTCTTGCATCAAGCGTCTTACACAACGAGGCCTTCAACTTGGCGGGTATTTCAGTAGGCTGCGGACACCCATGTGCCCAGTCTTGGGAGTCGTGGTTACATAGTTTATTGCGGTGGCAGCGCTTTTTCAATACTGCATCCATGTTAGGCAACCTCAATCTCGTATTTGTCTTGCAGATATTCTTCCCTGAGCCACCATCACCAGCGACACAATCGCATTGTCCCGTATGTCCCACGATCCTTCACTGTCATATCATAACTCTGCCATATATAATATTCCTGGAGTATATTGTATTGTATCAAACATATAACTTCAGCACAGTTGAGTCCAAAATATATTAAAATATTTCAGCATTACAATCCTCACCAGTTTATGAAGTAATCCAAGAGACCACAAGTACTCGCAAAAAACAGTGATAAATTAAATTTTCAACTTACAACCTTCCTAAAATTATTCTCAATTTCTGTAATATTTTTTTTCACCAAGGAACATTAACACTCTACTTCCTGTTTACACACTGAAAACCCAGACTAATAGTTGCGTCAGTTAGCCCTTTAAACACCCATCCTGGATTTTATGTTATGGTATTGTTCCATCGCACTTGGCTTTGGAGTCATGAGTTATGAGGTGAAAGAAGATTACAGTGACCCCTCGTTTAACGAACGCCTCGGTTAACGAACTGCCTTCCATTAGGATCTTCAATTCGGTTAACGAATTTCTTACGAACCGACCTCAACATGTTTTCGCTTGCACTGACCGGGCAACCAGCTTTAGTATCAGTCCGCCAATACAGTAATCGGTTCTAGGGCTTAAATTCCTTACTATTTTAGTAAATATCAAGAAGTTTATACTATTCAATAATTTTAAAAGTTTAATATTCAATTTTTTAGTCATTTTAACAATTTATTGAACATAATTGAAGGTAAAGTGACTAGTTTAATGCGCGGCATCCAGCCTCTTAACACAGCAAACAGGCGTTAGTCTCTCTCTGTTTTCACTGGAGGTAACATCTTGCTTGAGACTCTCTTCAACTAAACGCTTTTTTCTGTTTCCAAGCAAATTATTGGTCATTTTGAAATATATTTTACATATTGACAATATTTAATGCAGTGCAGTGTTGATTTAAAGAAAATAATCTTGAATTACACCAAGAGAGCTAAATTTTTTTGGATGAAATGGCACCATGGGGTGACTTCTCTTCCACCCCAATGCCTTCTCTTCTTCCTTCTCCTCCACCCCCATTCTAAATCCCATCATCATCATCATCATCCAGGAGCCTTCTACATACACACCTCAAAGTAAGTGAACTTTTCTACCATTTTTGTTGAATTTAGGAAATTTTCGGTGAGCTGGAACCAATTACCCAAAAACCCATTGAAACAATGGTTTCGGTTAACGAACGACCTCCTCGAACAGATTGAGTTCGTTAACCGAGGGGTCACTGTATTAAGGATTGAAGAAAAGTGATGAAACTGAAATACAGTAGGAGGGCTCAACCAGATCACTTCATCTATTCTATTTTTTTCTTTGTTTTGCTCCCTTGGGTCGTCAGACCTTCGTATTAGTATTGGTTTATTTGTATAGTGCTGCTTATTATACTTGTTACTTTTTTCTAATGTGTTAGTTAAATGTTAGTTATGTTAGTCTAAAAGTACACAGTATGGAGAGAGGTTCTTAGTGGAGCTGGTAGATCACTATCATCTTTTATTCTCTCTATTAATATTTTATGTGTATATTGGAGCAGATGGTTCAATTATTTTCTTCCTGGCAGATTTAAACCAACTGTGTTCTTGGAATTCTTCGTTATCTATATTATTCATCCAGTTTTGGTAAGTTTCTGTGTTGAGTCACTTTGTTCCTTGACTTGGCATCTGTAGATGAGGTAGAGGGCTATTGCTTGT